ATTTCATAAATATAAATATGGAGAGATTGATGGAGCAGCTTTAAAAAAAGAATTAGTGCTCTAATGAGAATGGCTACCTATTTGAGAGAATGGCTACCTGTTTGACTCAGGTCCAATGCACATTAATATTGATAAAACATTTGTCCTACATATTTATTACTTATTTTATTTTACTTTATTTATATCCCACTTTTCTCCTAGCATTGGAGCGCACATCAAATTAAAAACAAAGTATGCTAAAATAGATTCAATACATTTTTAAAATTATACTAAAGATACTGTTACAAATGAACACAAAAAGCTAAATAAAACATTGAAAAAGTGAGTGCATTATATACTCCATTCAAAGGATACTTTTGCCACAGTAACCTAAAATCCAAAGGCCTGCCTAAGTCAAGGACTGTTGTGGGGTGTGTCTTTAAGGTGCAGGAGGGCCAAAACAGCTCCATGGCCACTACACGAGGAATGGAGCTGATTTGCCATAATGTGGCCTTGAGCTGTGTTAACATATTCTGGAGCTTTTCCCAAACTCTGGAGTATCCAGCATCTTTGGGAATGTATTATTATTATCAGGAGAAAATGCCTAGAACATGGCCATATAGCCCGAAAAAACCTACAACAACCCATTATTATCATTGCTATTACGTTATACCTTGCTTGCTCTCTCTCTAATCAATTGTGCCACTTCTTATTTGGCAACTTGGGGGAATAGGATGCCACCTACCTTGCCTTCCAAGTTTAGCAGTGCTCACTTGGTATAAAAGTGACAATATCCAAAGGATCAAGGGATTCTAGGAGGAGGGGGAGACAGGGAAGTGATTCSACTTCTCCACTCCAATCACCTTAACTCTCTGGATATCATCACACCAGGTGCTGAATAGTGTCTGTCGTCATTTTCATACCCAGTGGTCATCATTGCTAAGGGGAGAACAAAAGCGGGGGGGGGGGGGAATAATGGTCATGGATGAACAGCACCACACTGGTGTTGGTGTCATGTAGTCATGCAGCCACCAAGGCAGTTCATGGAAATGAAATGTATTCCCCCATGCAGTTCCTGAGCCGACTTGGGGGTGTGGATAGTGTAGCCTCCAACAATGTTGATCCAGAGTACCCCACTTCAAAACAGCATTGCCGAATCTGCACCCTATGTCTTTTAGCAGAATGAATGTAGGATAGGGCCAAAGGAGTTTCCAGTGGAAGGGAGTCCACAATCTGGGAGCATCCACCAAGAAGGCACTTTCTCTAGTCCTCGCCAAATACACCTGTGTTGGTGGCAGGACAGAAAGCAAGGCCTCTCCTAAAGATCTGAAAAATTGGGCTTATTAAAAGAGATGTGATCTCCAAAGTGGTTTGGACCCAAGCTATTTAAATGTATGATATATATATCCCTTGAGATGATCACATGTTTGCCTTTCTTATTAAATTCTTGTAGCCCCACATAGTGTATGCAAATATTGGCACAATCACAGCTACACAGCAAAGAAATACTGAATGCAAAATTAAGGCAGTTTGCATAAAGGACAATGATTGCAATATTGCAGCTGACATCCTGTGTCTTTGGATGATAAGATATCCATTAATTAGAAGTCACTGACACAAAACAGTGAAAGGATAGACAACTGGTGATATCTTTGCTATGAATACTGATTTGAGGACAGCAAACAGCAAGGGAAGGCGATTACTTTAAGCCTTGGGGTGCAGGTCTTGCAAATAACAAGATGGTAAGCTACTTTGTTCATCCAGGATGCTTTCCGGTTTCATTTTATGCTCCCACAAGAGTTCAAGGAATCAAGCATAGATACCCATAAACTGTACAGGTGCTTGTCCCTGACAGTATGCACAATAAAATACCAAACTGGGTGTAATGTTTTAAAGTCAACTGTAATAGTTATTTCCAGATTGAATTGTGTCATCTAATACAGTTTGTGAAGATTAAAAAGATCAATTTGTTCAGAGTGAAAGAGCCAGGCTGTTAACTAGGTCTGATCACAGAGAACATATTGTATCTATTTTGCAGAGAGTTTGTCTGAAGAAAAGTTACTTTGCAGACACAGTTTTAAGTGCTGTTGGTGTAAATTAAGCATTAAAGGTTCAGCTGTATGCTGATCTACGGTATTTCAGTGGCCCGAACAACTCCATTTTGACAATATCTGATATCTCCCCATAGCATGTATTGTTTACTGAGCTCTCTCATTTATGTTTTTGTAGAAATACTGTACAGACAGTCCCCAAGTTACTAACAAAATGGGTTCTGTAGGCTTGTTCTTAAATTGAATTTGTTTGTAAGTTGGAACAAGTACATTTTTTCAGTGTAACTCCATATATGTGTGTGTGTGTGTGTGTGTGTGTGTGCACGCGCTTTGGATAGCATGGGGAAAGTGTTAACACTCCTGTGGTCAGGCATGTAGCCAAGGGGGGGGGGCTTGATGGGCTTCACCCCCCCCAAAAAAAATTCTCAGGGTGGTCCGCAAGAAGGCCTTACTGGTACATTATTTAAACTGTTATGTTTATTCATATCATGATCTGATCACCATGCTCAATATATCCCATATGCACGGGGTTATTGGGATAATGATACAAAAGGTTTGCTAGGGTAGATCCTCAGCCCCCTTTGAGTCAGCCCTCTGAATCAAACTCAGCACCCCCCCCCCAATTCAAAATCCTGGCTATGGGCCTGCCTGTGGTGATTGTTTTGCTGTCCGTGTCCCTGTTCAGACTTCACCATACTTTCAGTCCCTGTGCAAATTAGATATTGAAAAATTTAGTTTGTTGTAGAAAGAAGGCCTGGTGAGACACCTTTTCCTCATGATAGCTTCAATTGAGACGCCTTTTCCTCATGATTACTCTTTCAGGGGTGAATTTCCTTTCTTAGGGACAGATTTTTCTCACTTCCTGTTGTCCCACCCCCATTCTTAACTGTGAGCGGCTTGTAAGTCAGATGTTTGTAACTCAGGGAATCCCTGTAACTTCAATGTTCTGTGATCAGGACCAACAACCAGAAGTTATGACTACATATAGTGCTAGACGTTCTGGATATATTCTGTGCTGGTCACTTAGACCTCAGATTAGGATTTCCATGTATGCATTTTACCTATACACAACAAAATACTGATGTGTGGAATAAAATTCTATCCATTTTGGCCAATGCTGTGAGTAGGTTGGACTGAAAGTACTGCTGGGGCTTGTTAGATCCTATGGTCAAAGTTATTCTTTGTTGTGTGTTTGCCTTTCTGCTCAGTTTCAGGACTGAACCCAGCTTTGTTTCCCTCTTCCATACAAATCTCCACATTTATCTAGACCATACTCTGTGCTTGAGCATCCTTATTGGAGGCTGATTGATAAAAGGATGCGATCTTTTCTCCTTTGATACTCTTGTTATGGACAGCATAGAATGTAACAATCTGGCTAGCTTTCTTTTGATCTTCTAGAGATTTGTGAAGGCATTGTACATTTGTGTTGGTATTTCTGTTCTAATGGATGAGTTTCAGCACTGAATTACCTGTATGCTGTGGCATAATAATTATATAATGGTTTTATTTCTGTGTTTAGAACACTTGGTGGAAAGGTATGTAAAATAAGAAATAGTTTAGATAAGAACATAGTAATAAACACTCAATGGTTCACTTGGAAATCAATCTTGGTTTTTAAAATATTTTTATTGTTAATGATGTAGATTGGAGGAGCAACAGTTGTCAAAACAAACAGAATACCTTTTGAGAGTAAGAATCTAGCTGAAGGAAAGGGTGTGGAAAACAAGTAATCCTTAAAGACAGCTCTTATTTTTTAGTGGCAGAATCTAAGACTTTGTGTGTTTTCATTAATCTTTAAGGATTTCTTGACATATTTCAAGCCAAAGTATTTGAGAGCTTTTAATGTGATTTCCCCCCCCCCCCCTCAAAAGACTATAAACAATAACATAAGAGTACACAGTAGTATTTAGAATATATGGAAAATTTGTATAACATTGAAAATTCCCAAAGGAACGAAGTAGTTAGGATCATGTTGACGACAGAGTTCAGGTTTTATGTGTAAGTTCTCTGCCTTATTTTACAATCAGGGTTCTGTTTTGGGTCTCAAGATACTACATACCGTATATACTCGAATATAAGCCGAGGCACCTACTTTTACCAAAAAGAACTGGGAAAATGGATTGACTCAAGTATAAGCCAAGCGTGGGAAATGTAGCAGCTACTAGTAAATTTCAAAATAAAAATTGATACTAATACAATTACATTGATTGAGGCATCAGTAGTTTAAATGTTTTTTAATATTTACATAAATCTGTAATTTAAGATAAGACAGCCCAACTCTGATTAAACAATTATTCTAACTTTCTTCAATGTAAATGTGCTTATGTATCCTTCCAATAATAATAAAGGAAGTAAAATAATAACTGTAATTATTATTATTATTATTATTATTATTATTGAGTAAAATAATGGAAATGTAATAATAAATAGAATAAGATAATAAATGTAATAATAAAGTAAAATAATAAATGTAATAAAAAATAATAAATAACTCGAGTATAACCCGAGGGGGACTTTTTCAACCTTAAAAAAAGCACTGAAAAACTAGGCTTATACTTGAGTATATATAGTATGTTTTTTTAAATCAAAAGAGACTACTTAATACCTAAGTTTCTTGCTATTCTAACCATATCTGAAACATTTTTTCCTAAATAAAATATGGTACTTAATTGCTTAAGTTATATATGTATTATAGTTTGTGGTATAAAGCAGGAAGGTCACAATTACCACAGTAATTATTTAGCAGTCATTATTAATGTTTTAGTTACCTCGAATTTTTGAAGGACTGTGTTATTGCTTTCTATATTGAACTTGACTTGTAAAAGATGGGCTTACATCTTGTACAAGAAGCTTTTAAAACTGACAGCCTTTCTTAGTAAGGCTGAATAAATTCCTTAAACTGAGGAGAGAGAGAGAGAAATCAAGAAGTTAAAGTGTTCTGGTCAATAACTGCAGCTCTTCTTCTCATAGTGTTGCAGGAGGGGAACTCTTTGATTTTCTAGCTGAAAAGGAATCCCTGACTGAAGAGGAAGCTACAGAGTTTCTCAAGCAAATCCTTAATGGTGTTAACTATCTCCACTCTTTGCAAATTGCACACTTTGATCTCAAGGTATGTTGGATGGCTTTCCCTACATTTAGCTTTTAGAATACTACACAAAGAAGCTCTTAGAAATCATGTCTGCAAAAAGCCAGCCTTTGATGTTGATGTAAATTATTGTTTTGAAATTACCATTGGGAATCTTGTATCTAGTCAGTGTTACAGGATACACTTCTGCAAATTGTGGATGTTTCCATATATGTACATTTACATTCATGTATTTGAATGTTTTACTTCTGTTTGTATTTCATTTTTATTTTAAAAGAAAACTGCAAATACATTTCATGGGTGGTGGGATGATTGTAGCACATGATCTTGAATATTTTTTCAAGGAGAGATTCTTTTTTCAGATTGTGACTATACAATGGTTAATATATGACCAATTTCTCCCTCAAAGCCTGAAAACATAATGCTGCTGGATAGAAATGTACCAAAGCCTCGCATCAAGATTATTGACTTTGGCTTAGCACACAAAATAGACTTTAGCAACGAGTTCAAGAACATTTTTGGGACTCCTGAATTTGTTGGTGAGTGTTTCCTTTTGTAATTTGGCTATAGGAACTTGATTTCGTGATAGAATAAGTAGACTGATTTTAATCAGTGTAGAACTGGTCTCCACTCTATAATTTTTTCTTGCCTTTCCTTTGCTTTCCCTCTTGAGAATGGAGCTGAGAATCAGTTGGTAGATAAGCAAAGGCTGTCTAGTTTGCACAAAAGCACCAAGTTTTGGGTGTGATACGGCAGTAGATATATTTTCTGTACCCACTTATTTTGAATCCACACTCACATAGTTTGGTCCTCAGGATTTTATATCAACCATTTTTGACAGTGATTAGTTCTGTTCAAAAACTAGGAATAAAACTAAATTTATCACTTAGTAAAATGTTTCTAGCTTTATCCCCTGAAGGATCTTTTGTTGGCGACAGATGAGCAGCGCTGGGGCAAAGGGGTTTCACTAGAATCAGACCACATGGGCCATCTAGTCATGGTCAAAGTACCCCTAACAGCTGTTCATCCAGCCTCTATTTAAAGGCCTCCAAAGAAGGAGATTCCACCAATCATCATCATCATCTTTATTTATATTCCGCTCTATCTCCCCAGAGGGACTCAGAGTGGATTCCAAACATAAAAGGCAAAGATTCAATGCCCAAATACAACAACAATATATCCATACTAACAAAATTTAAACAACCCAACATATAAACATGAATTATGACTTAACAACTAACATTAAAAAGAAAACACAGCCTGTTATAACAGACATAAGACAAAACATCAGACATTGAATGGAAACAATAATTTTCCAGTTGCGTGGGGCAAATCGATTAATCATTGTTCAAGATATCTATTGAGCTGATGGGGTGAGCAGGGCATGGATATGGATGGCAACTATTAATCAGAGGTATAATGATAGTATTACTAACTACTATTCCTCCTCTTCGTATGCCAGTGAGCAAAGGTATGTCTTCAGCTGTTTCTTCCTTAGGAAGGGAGTTCCAGTGGTGGAGGGCAGCCACGGTGAGGGCCCTTTCTCTTATTCCCACCAGCCGTGCTTGGAACAGGGGTAGAACTGAGAGGAGGACCTCCTCCGATGATCGCAATGTCCGAGTTGGTCTATAGTGGGAGATGCCTTCTGACAGTGTCATTGAATCCTCATGATCTAGCTCGTGATCAACCTCTAGCAAATCTTTATTTCAGGTGGTGACAAGAAATTGGGAATATTTATTGGTGATTATGCTTTTCCTGGTCTCATTTCGTTGTGGCTTCCAGCCTAGGTTTGAAGCTGATACTGCTTGGATTACCCTGATACAAAAGAGCAAATCTCTTCAGTTGTCTTGCACTTCTTAGTAGCACTGGTTATTACTGGCCATTCTTCTGGATTGTCTTTCTGCCTTTATGGACCCTGCTCTTCAGTTATTCCACTCCTATTCAGTAGATCTGTCTAAATTGTGACAGTTTTGTAGTATAGTATTCCATAGAATGCTGTAGTATTTCTTGTGGCATTTAATATCTATAAGTTATTGGTGGGACAAGTCAGCTGACTGACATCAATGCGCTAAAGACACCCAGCACTGTTTTTCTTTCCATTTGACCAAGGTGCAGCCACAAATATCCTTGAATTGTTGTCTAAAGCTGAGGTGAGGCCTAACCAATTAAATTTTGACCCAAGTAAGACTGAACTTATTTTCCGATAGGTGCTCTAGAGGCTTGCATGGTTTACTTCTACTAGTTTCCCCCGGCATGCTGGTTGTATCTCTTCTTAGTGAGAGAAAATGTGGCCTTGGTAATTCATACCAGGCTAGGTTACTCGAGTATGTTGAATCTAGAATTTCTCTTGAAGAGTGTTTAAAAGGAACAGATGTCTACAGTGTGGCATCCTAATATGACTATTAGAATACGTTGCATTGTTGCCAAAAAGATGACAAGGGTGCCATTGAGAACATGCTAAGCTGTTTTGGATCTCATTTGTGAGAGATAAAGCGAGGTATAAATAAATATAACAACATGTAAAACTGGCCATCCTAGTCACAGGATTATGGGATGTTAAGTCTAGAAAGGCACTTTTAGAATCTCTGGTGCCATGTAAGTGTCCTCTGGAGGCTAATCCATAACAAGCATGGGAATGATAGAGAAAGCGCTATTATGGTCCTCATCTATGTAATTATGGAATGTAGTGATATTCACAAAACCGATGCACATGTTCAGGTGAGAGGAGCTAGCCCTAAGGTATATAGAATTTAATTGCACAGAAATAAGACTATTTTTGTCCAGAAATATGTTGGATGTTGTACAGATTTTAATATAATTGTTGGACCAATCAGCAGTGTGGTTTCCATATTTTGAACCAGATAGTTCTACATATCTCTACTAAAGCAGTTTGATTCATTAATGTAGATTATTCAAGCCCCACATTTCCTTTTTTGAGGTTCTTTTTTCTTGAATTCAGAATTGAAGTGAGGGTAGTTCATTTTCCTGATTATGTGCAGTCCACAAGCCCAAACCATCTCACATGCAGCACCATACCTACACCATACAAACAACAAGCACCATACAAAATATGTCACAATTTTAATCAAAAAGGGTCCTGGTACCTTCTCAAGGAAATGGGAGACAACTGTGTTTGAGTTATTTAAACACCCAAAGGGTACCCCCCCCCCAATAAAACAGAAGTGATTACATAATCTTGCCAATATGTGTTATGGTTGTTTGGATATATACTAAAGATGTACTTTATCTCTTAGCTCCTGAAATAGTCAACTATGAACCTCTGGGTCTTGAGGCAGATATGTGGTAAGTTCTCATTTTTTTCTGGAGCTTCACTTATTTATATATTTTCAGTGTTTTTGAATACTTATCAGTAACTTTCTCTTTTTTTCTTCTTTGCAGGAGCATAGGAGTAATAACTTATATTCTGTAAGTATTAAAACTTTAAAAACTTTGTTTTTATGGTATTAGTTCTATTTTATCATCATATAGGGTTTTTAAAAAAACTTGATAAAAGGAGATCTTATCCAGAATAACCTCTGTACAGTAGACAATTGTTTTTAATACATAGTATGTACATATGTATATAAAATAGAATCCGCTGTAATTTGAATACAGCTTTGCATTTATTTTGCCATTCATACATGCAGCCTGCTCATTCATAACTATAAAGGTCTGCTCCTGCATATTTTGAACCCACTTGGACCCCAGTTGAATTGCCATGTCTCTAGGGAAGTTGTAATTTTTCAAAGTCTTTAGTTTTCTCTGCCAAAGAGAGCTGATGCCTCACCAAACTACAAATCCCATCGCAGTTAAAATGGTTCAAACTGCATTAATTAGACAGAGTAGATGCACCCTATGAAAAATTATGTTACCAACCTTTTTCTCTAAGTTAGTCTCAAAGGTTTTATAATACAAGATCCTTTTGTATACTGATCTAGATTAGCATGGCTACGTCTTGCAGTTTTGCCACCTGTTTTATGAAAGCTTTGTTTAGAACATTTTGCTGTATTTTAGATCATTTTTTAAAAAAGCGGTACAACAAGGCTGGCAAGCTTGGAATTTGTCTTGAAATCAAACAGAATCACAATTGTAACAACACTTGATTTTTACAGCCTGAGTGGTGCATCACCATTTCTTGGAGAAAGTAAACAAGAAACATTAGCAAATGTGTCTGCAGTGAACTATGACTTTGAGGAAGAATTTTTCAGTAATACCAGTGCGCTAGCTAAAGATTTTATAAGAAGACTTTTAATTAAAGACCCAAAGTAAGTTTCTTCCAGTCTTTATTTTATGATACTGAATGCATTTAGTGTATGTGATATTGAGGTTGTGGGAATAACTGGTGGGTATTTTAGTTCTTTTGGAATAAAGCAGACATGCCTTGCCTTGAAGTTATTCAAGACTTCAGCTTAATCCCACAATTTATTACAATTTGCAATTGATGTACAGAAGCAAATTAACAGATGATGATTTACAGACTGTTATTTGGAGCTGCATAAATATGTATTTGTGGTTTAAAAAAATACCCAGGAAGCTTACATTTATAGGTGCCATCCTCAGCCTATTGATATCAATTTATTGGACCACATCTCAACTATATAGATATTATTGGGAGTTAGAGTCCAACACATTTGGAGCATATGAGGTTGCTGAAACGCTGTGTTGAAGATAATGTGTGATGCTGTGAAGTAGGACAAGGAAGATATCTGGTTTCCAACTGGACATGAAATTCATGGGTTGACTTGTACTTATTCACTGTCCCTCAGCCTAAACTACATCATGGGTTATTTTTAGGATAAAATAGTGAGTAAGACATGTGAGTCATCTTTATGTAAATATAAATTTAAATGTAACCAAATAAAATAACACTTGTTTCTTCTTTGAAAGGAAGAGAATGACCATTCAAGATAGCTTACAGCATCCCTGGATCAAGGTTAGTTGACAAAAGTACAGATTGCCATATTCCCTTTATTCTTTTTTGTTGTTCACATCTGTTTGCTTTCTTTTGCCTTCTCATATAGATATATTTCTCACTGATTTGTCTTGTCTCCCTTGCTACCCAAAAATAGAACAGAGGGTTTGCAAATGTTTAGAAAAAACTGGAAACACATGAAAGAGAGAAAGAAATCTCTTCCAAATACTCATATTTCCAGTGGTAGATTCTTACATTTCAAACCAGTGGTTCCCAACCTGTGGACCATGGAGCACCAGTGGTCCCCAAGAACTAAAATATGGTCCGTGGCCTCACCGTTACTACACGTTGCAACCATCTTTCGGTAGCTCTTTTTGTTGTTCATTCGTTCAGTCGTCTCCGACTCTTTGTGACCTCATGGACCAGCCCACGCCAGCGCTCCCTGTCGGCTGTCACCACCCCCAGCTCCTTCAAGGTCAGTCCAGTCACTTCAAGGATGCCATCCATCCATCTTGCCCTTGGTCGGCCCCTCTTCCTTTTGCCTTCCACTTTCCCCAGCATAATTGTCTTCTCTAGGCTTTGCTGTCTCCTCATGATGTGGCCAAAGTACTTCAACTTTGTCTCTAGTATCCTTCCCTCCAGTGAGCAGTCGGGCTTTATTTCCTGGAGGATGGACTGGTTGGATCTTCTCGCAGTCCAAGGCGCTCTCAGAACTTTCCTCCAACACCACAGCTCAAAAGCATCGATCTTCCTTCGCTCAGCCTTCCCTAAGGTCCAGCTCTCACATCCGTAGGTTACTACAGGGAATACCATGGCTTTGACTAGGCGGATCTTTGTTGCCAGTGGATGTCTCTACTCTTTACTATTTTATCGAGACTGGACATTGCTCTCCTCCCAAGAAGTAAGCGTCTTCTGATTTCCTGGCCACAGTCTGCATCTGCAGTAATCTTTGCACCTAGAAATACAAAGTCTGTCACGGCCTCCACATTTTCTCCCTCTATTTCCCAGTTCTCAATCATTCTTGTTGCCATAATCTTGGTTTTTTTGACGTTTAGCTGCAACCCGGCTTTTGCGCTTTCTTCTTTCACCTTGATTAGAAGGCTCCTCAGCTCCTCCTCGCTTTCGGCCATCAGAGTGGTGTCATCTGCATATCTGATGTTGTTAATGTTTCTTCCAGCAATTTTCACCCCAGCTTTGCATTCATCAAGCCCCGCACATCGCATGATGTGTTCTGCATACAAGTTAAAAAGGTTGGGTGAGAGTATGCAGCCTTGCCGTACGCCTTTCCCAATCTTGAACCAGTCTGTAGTTCCGTGGTCAGTTCTGACTGTTGCTACTTGTTCCTTGTACAGATTCCTCAGGAGAGAGACAAGGTGGCTTGGTTGCCCATACCACCAAGAACTTGACACAATTTATTATGATCCACACAGTCAAAGGCTTTAGAATAGTCAATGAAGCAGAAGTAGATGTTTTTCTGAAACTCCCTGCCTTTCTCCATTATCCAGCGGATATTGGCAATTTGGTCTCTCGTTCCTCTACCTTTTCTAAACCCAGCTTGAACATCTGGCAACTCTCGCTCCATGTATTGCTGGAGTCTTCCTTGCAGGATCTTGAGCATTACCTTACTGGCATGAGAAATAAGGGCCACTGTACGGAAGTTGGAGCAGTCTTTCGCATTTCCCTTTTTTTGGTATGGGGATATAAGTTGATTTTTTCCAGTCTGATGGCCATTCTTGTGTTTTCCATATTTGCTGGCATATGGCATGCATCACCTTGACAGCATCATCTTTTAAGATTTTAAACAGTTCAGCTGGGATCCCGTCGTCTCCTGCTGCCTTGTTGTTAGCAATGCTTCTTAAGGCCCATTCAACCTCAGGATGTCTGGTTCTAATTCATTCACCACACCGTCAAAGCTATCCTCGATATTATTATCCTTCCTATACAGATCTTCTGTATAGTCTCGCCACCTTCTCTTGATCTCTTCTGCTTCTGTTAGGTCCCTGCCATCTTTGTTTCTTATCATACCAATTTTTGCCTGAAATTTACCTCCAATGTTTCTAATTTTCTGGAAGAGGTCTCTTGTCCTTCCTATTCTGTTGTCTTCTTCCACTTCCATGCATTGCTTATTTAAAAATAGTTCCTTATCTCTTCTGGCTAACCTCTGGAATTGAGCATTTAACTGGGCATATCTCCCCTTATCCCTGTTTCCTTTTGCTTTCCTCCTTTCTTGGGCTACTTCCAGTGTCTCAGCAGACAACCATTTTGCCTTCTTGGTTTTCTTTTTCTTTGGACGTACTTTGTTGCTGCCTCCTGAACAATGTCTCGGACTTCTGTCCATAGTTCTTCTGGGACTCTGTTTACTAAATCTAGTCCTTTAAATCTGTTCTTCACTTCCACTGTATATTCGCTAGGAATGTTAGTGAGATCATATCTAACTGGTCTGTGTATTTTCCCTGATCTCTTTAGTTTTATTCTAAATTGGGCAATAAGAAGTTCGTGATCTGAGCTGCAGTCAGCCCCAGGTCTTGTTTTCACCGACTGGATGGATGTCCGCCACCTTTGGCTGCAAAGGATGTAGTCAATCTGATTTCGGTGCTGACCATCTGGTGAAGTCCATGTATAAAGCCGTCTTTTAGGTTGTTGGAAGAGAGTGTTTGTTATACACAGCGAGTTTTCCTGGCAAAATTCTATCAGCCTGCGTCCTGCTTCATTTTGTTCTCCCAGACCATGCTTGCCTGTGATCCCAGTTGTCATTTGACTTCCCACCTTGGCATTCCAGTCTCCTGTAATGAGAATAATGTCTCTTTTTGGTGTATTATCCAGTTGGTCCTGCAGATCCTCATAGAACTGATCTACTTCTGCTTCTTCAGCAGCTGTGGTTGGGCCGTATATTTGGATCACTGTGATGTTGAAAGGCTTTCCTTGCACTCGAATTGAGATCATTCTGTCATTTTTTGGGTTGTATCCAAGCACTGCTTTAGCGAATTTCTTATTAATTATGCAGGCTGCTCCATTTCTTCTATGTTCCTCTTGTCCGCAGTAGTAGATCTGGTGGTCATCTGATGTGAAGTGGCCCATTCCAGTCCATTTCAGTTCGCTGACCCCCAGAATGTCTATCTTTAGTCTTGACATCTCACCAATAACAACATCCAATTTGCCCTGGCTCATAGATCTTACATTCCAGCTTCCTATGGTGTGTTGATCTTTAGAGCATCGGATTCGTCGTTCACCTCCAGTACCGTCGGCCGCTAGCCTTCCTTTCGGCTTTGAGCTAGCTGCGTCATCACATCTGGGGCTAGTTGAACTTATCCTCTGCTCCTCCCCAGTAGCATTTTGGCCATCTTCCGACCTGGGAGTCCCATCTTCCAATGGCATACTGACATATCTCTGGTTGTACTGGTCCATTTAGTTTTCTTGGCAAGATACTGGGGTGGTTTGCCATTGCCTTCCCCAGGGATCACGCTTGGTCTGACCTCTCTGCCACGACCGTCCCGTCTTGGGTGGCCCTTCACGGTTTCGCTCATGACATCATTGAGGTGCTCAAGCTCCAGCGCCACAACAAGGCGGTGATCCTTTGCTGGAGACATTAGCTCTAGATGATTAAATATGGTTTTCTGTGGGTTAGCACATAGCGAATACTGGGTGGCATATGTTCTGTATCAGAAACTACAGCTGATGTGGTCTATCTAATGCAATTTTCTGAATCAACACCCCAAATAACCAAACCGAATTTAAATTTACCAAAAACTGATTTGTAACCCTTTTGGTACTAATGTTGGAGAGTAGTCCCTGGTTAAAACAAGGTTGGGAACCACTGTTTTAAACTAAACCAGATCATTACCAACCCCAGACAATAGGGAAATACCACAGAAGGAAAGGATCCAGTTTGGAATGAAACTGGATACAAGTTATGTACACTCAGGTCTCACATATTTGTAAGAGGAAATTGGTAATTGTTTTTCAGTTCTTTCCCAATTTCACCAGAGTTTCTTGCCTGCTAATGAATGCAGTAGGTAAATAAAATGTTATGCCATTTTCCTACTCCTTTGTATTGCATCTCAAAATGTCCCTTTAATTTCGTCTCAGCCTAAAGATACCCTTCAAGCACTTAGTAGAAAAGCATCAGCAGTCAATATGGAGAAGTTTAAAAAGTTTGCAGCACGAAGGAAATGGAAGGTAAGGTCTAACCACCGTTTATAATATTGGGATATAGTTTTATCTTTGAGAAAAGTACTTGTAATAATATATTTCCATATCCAGGCTAATGAAGGCCTGATGCATTCCTTAAAGAATTTGCTGTACGAGCTCAGTCTTTGAACCTCTTGCAGGTTTGTTTAACATTCAGATTAAAAATGTAATTGGGCTTGATATTTGCCGATGAGGAATGTGTGGCATTTTCATTGTAGTGAGGAAATGGAGCAGAAAAGTAGGGATTTTTTATTTATTTAAATATTTCTATCCCATCCTTTCTCAGGAGGGCTAACGAGTCAAGTGAAAACAAGCGGTTTAAAATACTACAGAAATTTAAATAAGCTTTAAAATGTTAAGCAGAATTAATGAGTTTTAAAACAGATTTAAAATACTCCGTTTTCAACTGGATACATCTTAGAGAAATAAGTGAAAATTAAAGGCTTTGATGAACAGTTAGGGTTTTACTAGGTGCCAAAATAAAAACATAGAATCATAGAGCTGGAAAAGACTGCAAAAGGCATCCAGTCAACCCCCTTTGGCCATACACACAAACAAAGCACGCCCAACAGATGGTAATCCACCATCCTGCTTTGCCCATTTTGGTCACCCTTCTCTGGAAATTTTATAGCTTGTTCATGTGCTTCAGGAATCATGGTGCCCAGAATGGACACAATATTCCAGGTGAAATCTGACCAATTCAGGATAGAAGGGTAGTATTACTCCTCTTGATCTAGACCGGGCATGGGCAAACCTAGGCCTGCAGGGCTGACAAAGCCCTTGGGGCTCTTTGCTCCACCCTGTCTGCTTCGGACCCCTTTCAGCATGTGGGCGCAGCAGCAGGAGGGCCAAGACAGAGACCCACCGCCGCCAATCACTCTCTGGCGAGTGTTTGGTAGCGACATGTTTGTCTCCCTCCTCTGGGCCCAGGAAGGCTCGAGGAAGGCAGACAGCTGCTGGAGAGATTTTCGTCAGTGTCTGTCTCCTCCTGCTCCTTTCAGCCCAGAAATGCAGCAGGCTGCTGCCTCCCCAGGCTGCAAGGAGAGCTGGAGAAAGGACAGGCTGTTTCCAAGAGCTCTTTCTTGGCAACTGATGTCTCCTCCTCCTTCATTTAGCCTGGGAACGCGCTGGGCCTCCATGTCCCCAGGCTGGAAGGAGAGCAGGGGAAAGGACAGGTGTTGCCAAGAGAGAGCTCTTGGCAATGGACCAAGGAAGGGAGCCACCAGCTGAAATGGCTCCTCTGCCATTTCAGCTGGTGCCTCCCTTTCTTGCCCTTCTCTTGGCAGAAGGAGGGGCTGAGAGAACAGCCCAAGCCAAGAAGGCAGGCAGCGTCTGAAAGGGCTGCAGAGCCCTTTAAAACATGATCTGACTCTTCTCCTCCCAGCATCAGGTTGGGGCAAGTACCCCCCCGTCTTTTGTTAAGGAGCCAGACAGCCAGGTGATGAACCACCCCTTATTTATTTGTTTATTTATTTGTTTATTTACAATATTTATATTCCACCCTTCTCATCCTGCAGGGGACTCAGGGCGGATCACAATGCACATATATTTGGCAAATATTCAATGCCATAGACACACAACATATATAGACAGACACACAGAAGCTTTTTAACTGTCGAGCTTCATGAGGGTATGCTTCCGGCCACCGGGGGAACTGTCACTTCACTGTCCACTTGTGACACTGATAGAGTACTTCTTCATTCTTTTGTATGCTGCTGGAGAGTTTAATGGCGTTATAAATTAGTTAGATTACCCTCCCCACATAAGCGGTACGTAAATTTTCTACTTGACAGATGCAACTGTCTTTCAGGATGCAAAGGTCGACAGCAAGCTAGACAAATGGTTGGGAGCTTACTCTGACCCAGACTGGCTTCAAACTCATGACCTTTCGGTCAGTAGTGATTCTAATGCAGATGACTCCCAACCAGCTGCACCACAACCCTTTCAAAATCCCACTCCAGCCCCAGGTCTTCTGGCCCCACCCACATTCCCTTCCGGTCGGGCCCACACAGCAGCCCCATGCCAAAATGTTTGCCAGTGCCTGATCTAGACACTATATTCCTCTTGATGCAGCCTAGAATCACATTGGTGATTGGTCGAAATTCTTAGTTGCTGCCTCAAATTGGGTTGGTACCACTCAGATCTCCAAAGGAGAAGGCATTCCACAGTTAGGATGGCGCAGCCGAGAAGGGCCTCTCCCATATCTTTACACAATGTATAGACTTCTCTCATGGCACACAGAGGAGAAGCCCACAATAGACCTCAGTCCTCAAGCATGCATATATAGGGGGAAACACTCCCTTAAAGAGTGGTGCCAAACAATGATTTTCCTGAAAATTCTGAGAGTGACAGCTATCTGTGACAACTTAAAGGAAAGAGATGAAGCTGAGTACATAATTGCTCTCCAAGTTTTTGCAAGGAGAAAGAAGAGCACCAGTTGAGCTTCAAATCTGGACAAATAAAATGTTTCTTGAAGAGCAATAAATATGTATCTGTGTTGGTGGCTTTAGGACTATAAACATTTGTTACAGATTTGTTTGAGAATTGATTCTCATGTGTCTCGGTGATGTCATAATGCATTTCAAAGTGATGCAAGGTTTTCATCATGAGAAAATGTTTGCTGTAATAACTTCTTGTATTTTCACATAAATATTTGTTTTTTCTCTTGCAAAAAGCAATCTGTGCGCTTAATATCACTATGCCAAAGATTATCAAGATCCTTTTTGTCCAGAAGTAACATGAGCGTGGCTAGGAGCGATGACACTCTGGTAGGTACATGGCTAGAGTACGGTGATCTACTTAAAATGTTAACATTCTGCACATCATTAGCAGGAAATATTATCTGGAAAATTTTGGTTCACTAAAGTAACTGCAATGGTTACTTTTCATGGTTTTGTCAAAAGCATCTCAATGCTATAAGTTACCTTCATATGGTTGTTAGTGTTGCTATTGTGTATCTTCATGTTGTTTCCTGTTTCTGGCAATCATAAGGCAAGATTTCTTTGGAGTGGGGTGGGGAGGTTGCCTTTGCCTTCCTCTAACATTAAAAATTGTGAGTTACACCATGTCATCTACTTGGTTTCCATATTCATAAGTATTAGCTACACTGTAGAATTAAAGCAGTTTTGATGCCACTTTATGTACTATAGTTCAATGCTGTGGAATCCTGGGATACATACTTTGGTGAGGCAGCATTACTCTTTGGCAAGGAATGAATCAATGTGTCTGACTAATGGAATGGCCCTGGATTATGTTTTGGATAGCGTGATTTTAATTGATGTTTTAATAATTCATGTTTTAAATTATTGGTTTTAATTATAATTGTTTATTTGATATATGTGTGTATGGCATCAAATTGCTGCCTGTTGTAAGGCTGGAGTTGAGAAAAGTGGGATATAAGTATGATAAATAAATAAATAAATGCAGCTTCCGTGATTACATCGCATTGAGGTACGGCAATGAAGGTGATGTAAAACTGCATTAATTCTGCAGGGTATATGTATCCTCAGTGTAATGTGTAAACTACTTCACCATGCTGGCTCCCATCCCTGACAAACTTCCTGCATCATTTGAGTCTGTACCCCTATAATGATAGTTGCTGTTGCAATTTTTTTTCAAGGTTGCATGAAGTTAACAACCCACATATTTGAATTTTTGTTTTCACTGTCTTTGGTGATAGAATTAGTTCTATGTGTCCCCTTTTTTTTGAATTGGGCTTTTGCAATTTGTATTTAAAGGTCAGTAAATCTAGAATATTACTTTTTAAGATTCTGTTGTACAGTTTGACAGCCATATCTGCAGGGGATACATTCCTAGATTTTGCATGGGTACTTCTCCTATTAAAATAGGATTTTTGGCCTAAGAATACCATAGAGGTTGGAGGACCTAGAAAACATCTGGCGAAGGCATATTTTGTCAGACATGGATAAATAAAACCACAGATATCAGTCCTTCAGATATAGAGATAATACTTTACACTGAATAAAACACCTACCTGTGTTTAACTCTTTTAAAATAGTTGTTAAAAGTGTGGATAAAAGTTTTTTTCTCTGAGAAATAAAGGAGAAGACATCAATATTTTTGCAGAGTGGTGCTGTATTCCAACATGTTATTGTTTGGTTTTTCTGCTAACTTCCACATATTTGTAAACAAAACCTTCATCTATTAATGTGCTGTTCATTTTTTACACTGGTTAATACTATAAACCAAGTTCAATCTTGTGGCCCAGAAGTTTAAAACAAACTCAAGACTAATTGTACTGCTCTAAGACGCAATGTTAAAGATAGATCACTCTTGCTCATTGCTGATTTTTGTACTGAAGTGACTTTAAAAAAATGTTCTCAAATTATAAAATGGCAATAGATGAATAAGCAATAGACCTTTTTATATCATGTTATGTGGAAAAGGACACTTCAGCCTCCTTCAGGCTATATATTTGGGCTGAATTGTCTGACACATTTTCTTGTAAGTTCTCTCTGCTTCCCCGTTGAGAACGATAAGCTACTATATCTAGAAATGTTAATCCCCAGCCCACACATACACACACACCTAAACATTCAAACCAAGGAAAGCTTGCAATGGTGTTCCTCCTTCACCTTCCTTTGCCATCCTTGCACCTATAACCCAGCTGGTATTTATTTATGCTGGAAGCAGGGGGTAATCTTTCCACAGGAGCCTACTGCTTTATTGCTAAGGTTCTCAAGATGGTTTTTAAAATATTAGAATCCTTAGAGGAGTTCAAGATTGGGAAGGGAAGAGAAGAGAGGAAGCTGTTGGAGGTTGTTCTCTCCATGAGTGTGCAGTGTGTGGGCCTGGAAGCAGAGATCTTCTGCTTCATTGCAAAGATTATATAGAGAATTAGAACTTTTAAAGGCACTTAAAAGAGACATGCAGAGGAACAGAAGGGCAGAAAAATCCTGAAAATGGAGAGAGATAAAGGAGTGTTGACTAATTCAACATTATTAGGGGGGGACGGGACTCACCTTTGGTTAAGAACAAAATAATTCCAAATACAGGTAGTCTCTGAGTTATGAACAAGATATGTTCTGTAGATTTGCTCTTAATGTGAATTTGTAAGTCAGAACAAGAATATTTCTTAAGTGTAACTCCAGCGATAGATAGAAAAATAGATAGATAGATAGATAGGATAGACAGACAGACAGACAGATAAATAGATGCAAGCTTTGACTAGAATAGAGAAGATTTAACACCTCTGTGGCGTTTGTTTTGCCGTCTGTGTCCCTATTCAGAGGATTTCACTTCACTTTCTGTCCCTGTGATAATTGGATTTTGAAAAAAAATGGGCTGTTGAGGAAACAAGGATTGGTGATAAAACTTCAGTGGATACACCTTTTCCCGTGATAACTCTTTTAGGAGTGTATTTCCCCTCCAAGGGGTAGATTTTCTCTTTCTTCCTGTTGTCTCACCCCTGTTTGTAACTAGGAGTCAGATGTAAGTCAGATGTTTCTATCTCAAGGACTATCTGTACTAACCTTTCCCTTTTTTCTCTCTCTCCTCTATTTGCTGTCTCATCCACACTTCTTGCTCTTATTTCTGTTTTAATGTATGAGGATGAGGAAGATTCATTTGTAATGAAAGCCATCATACATGCCATCAATGATGACAATGTTCCTGGTCTCCAGCACCTTTTGGGGTCTTTAACCAATTATGACATCAATCAACCAAACAAGGTATGTTGTGCTTCTTCAAATGTATTTGATATTTGATAATGTATTTGATATGTAGGATGTCATCAGAGAGAATGTTTTTAAATATACATATGATTACCATTTTTACTGGCAAAGAGAAGTCATCCAAAGATCCATATGTTTAACAACATTAATTTGGAAAAATATTTCTTTGAGGTGTATAAAATAGAGGCCACTGTAAGTCCAATTACACAACCCAACAAATAAATACCTTGGTATCTTGGTTTTAGACCTGTTCCAGGGGTTAATTGGGGCAATGACTTAGAAAAGTGCATTGGATAGACGGCTTCAGTTCTAGTTTCTTAGAAATTGGTTATTATGATTGTCTATGGGTGAGCAGATGGTGATCAGTAGGTGCCATTTCAAAAACTATAACTGATAGGGGAACGCTGGTGCCATTTTTTGAATCAGCAATTCAAGTATATCCAAAAATGAGACCAAAATTTGAGAAACCAAAAGATGTGTTGGCTATTGTAATTAATGTCTTTGTTGTGCCCCAGCCCTGGAACACCTTTTCACCCAGATACCATGCAGGGACGGGATGATCTACTAAGTACAATTTATTAAGAAAAACATAAGATAAGAAAAAGCACAATAAAAAGTACAGTCCAAAAGACAAATCTAGAAACTTCAAAGTTGCTGAAAAACATTCAGTTTCATGAATCAAATCACAGAAATGCAAAAACTTGGAACTGCACTTTGAGGCGATACAGGAAAACAAGACAAAATCTATACACTTGATCAAAATTATATCCAGAATTTGAGAACAGCATAATCCAGACCAAAAACCACGAAGACCTGAACAGGAATTGTAATCCAGAAACTTGAACCTTAACCAAGAAAACATAAACAAAACACACAATCCAGAAACTTGAACACTTGAAATAAAAAGACATAGAACTTAGAGGAGTTGTATCCATTTGAAATGCACTGCTGTTCTCATAAAGAGCTGTACACTTGATGCCCACTTAAAAGCCTCAATTCCCTCCCATGACATCACTCCTCATACACCTGCTTTTTTGCTGCTTATCTCAAAGCCACTGGGAAAAACAAGTCTGTCTGTCTTTTTACATTTTCGCAGTGCCGCTCTGACCTAGTAACAGACTCGCACTCCCCCACATTTCTCTCAGGAACAAACTGGCAGATTCTCATGGGAACAGGTTTCGCTTTCTCTACCATCCTGAAAACTACCAGGAGATTCAGTAACACATTTCTCCATGCCACTTCCATCCCCCCCCCCAAGCCCCCTCCTGAGATTCCACTAAATCCCCTTCCTCGTCTTCTGAAGCATCAGATTCTTCACGAACCACAACAGTCTTTCTTTTCTTTGTAGCATGGGACACCACCGTTTCTAATTGCAGCCGGATGTGGGAATGTTCAGATGCTTCAGTTATTCCTGAAGCGAGGTGCTCGGATTGATGTCCAAGATAAGGTGGGGAGATTGTTTGATCACTGCTGGTAATCAAGTATTGTAGAACACAGTCAGTTTAATCTTTTTTTTTAACATGGATGTAAATGCTTTAGACAGTTAACATTTCTGCAGCTCAGTAATTTTGCCCCAGACCTACCCTCTTTTATTCAATACTTCAGGTACTATTATCAGATTAATAACTATGTAGATTAATTTGACAGTATCTTAATTTATTGAATGATTTCTGAAGAAACTGAAAACATTTCTGAGTTGGAAAGGTGCTTTTCTTAGAACTTAGTATTATTCTAAACATGTAGGGAGGATGCTTACAACAGATTGCTGCAATTTACTTATGCTTTTGTTGATTATTATCATCACATATTTTGGACAGGCAGGATCTAATGCAATCTATTGGGCATCTCGACATGGTCATGTAGAAACCCTGAAATTTCTCCATGGAAGTAAATGCCCTTTGGATGTCAGAGACAAGGTAAATGAAAATGTTTCATCTTCTAGCATTTTTAAAGAGATTTATTTTAAGTGCTTTATCCTTGCAGTGCTAAGTTTAAAGCAAGAGACTGTTTATAAAAAGAAGGTTTTGGTTTTATTGTTTTAAACACCAGTATTGTTAACTGCCTTCAAGGAGTCTCTGCCTGAAATGTGTGCCTTTTAATAAGCATGAGTGTAATATCCAATAAAAGAAAAAACAATCTATATGCTAATGTTTATATTCGATTTTTATCTTGTAAGCCATTCTTTGTAAACAATTGAAGGACAGTATAAAATTCCTATATTTCTGGACAAGTTGTTCATTGAAATATCTCAAAGGGTTAAACATGGTGTGTGAAAGCAAGATATATTCTCTTTTTCTCATCAATCTTCTACTAATACTATTTCAGACTTAATGTGATTCCCTCCCAGTCCCGAATACCCCAATAATAGCTGACTTAATTCTTAAATAGCCTGCCAAAGCATCTCTGTCTTTCTCTCACATACAGCAGGAGGATGGTGAATGTTTATGATTTATTTAAATTATAAATAGGAACATTAAAATTGGATAAACTGAACCACAGTCAAACTTCTGAATCTTTAACAACTTTTAAAAAGCCAAAAGAATTGCATAGTGATTTTAATATACATTTGAACTAACCTAATATTTCTAGAAATAGGCAACACAATCAGAAAATAGAACTAATTTCCACAAATGAATACTTGATGTACTTGTTTGTCCATTAAAATGTTGATCTATCCAGGCCATTGTCTTCTTCCTTTGAAGGCAGCATGAGGGAAAAAATACTAAGCTCTCAGTGCTGCTCAGCGTTTGTAGTTCTTATCCAATATTCACGGTGATTCACAATGTGAAAGTATTCAACTGTCTGCCAAGAGATGTAATCCTTGTATCTCTCTTCCAATCACAGTCTGGAGAAACCGCTTTGCATGTGGCATCTCGGTATGGTCATGTGGATGTGGTTCACTACTTGTGTGGCATTGGATCAAATCCAGATTTTCAAGATAAGGTAAGTAGTAAGTAGTGGTAACCTGTGCCCCTCAGTCAAGTAAGAATATGCCCTAAATACTTATGTATAAAGGTAAAGGTAAAGGTTTCCCCTTTACCTACCTAAAGGTTTCCCCTGACATTAAGTCTAGTTGTGTCCAACTCTGGGAGGGGGGGTGCGCATCTCCATTTCTAAGCTGAAAATCCAGTGTTGTCCATATACACCTCCAAGGTCCTGTGGCCAGCATGACTGCATGAAGTGCCATTACCTTCCCACCAAAGCAGTACCTGTTGGTCTACTCACATTTGCATGTTTTCGAACTGCTAGGTTGGCAGAAGCTGGGGCTAACAATGGGAGCTCACCTCATCCTGTGAATTCGGACTGCCGACCTTCAGGTCAACACATTTTGTAGCTTAGTAGTTTAACCCACTGCGCCACCATGCCCCCTTCTAGTGTGCAATACATATACATAGTAGAAATTTTATTCAAACAACCCAAAAAACCTAGACCGTCTTATCCATGGGTCAATGTAACTTTTGTGCCTCAACTATTATGGAGAAAAAGGAACTATCCCCCTCTCTGAGTGATGAAAGGCAAGAGCTTAGTCCATCCTAAGATTAAGATATATTGGCCCCTCTACTCCCTTCTGTGACTCCACTTTTGGCCTTTTAAAATGATTGTACAGGGAAATATCAAGAATGATCCTGAAGTGGCATCGGTGTTTTCCCCTGTCCATAGTATGGCCCTCTACTTATCCAAGGGGCATATCAGAAACCATAATCCAAAACCTGCTCTCAATGTATAAATGAGGTCAACTTGTATATGGCTATATATAGTACTTGTCTCATCAAAATTTTTGATAAGAGTCTGTGTTGGTACTTTTTTAAATTCTTATCATAAATGTTAGACACTGTCTTGCACTCAGTCAAATCTTTGGTCCATTTTGCTCCCTATTGTCAACACTGACTGGCAGCAGCTTTGAAGGAATTTAGTTGAACCTCAGAACTTTCTCAACTGTTTACTAACAATAAAGATTCAAAATAGACTCAACCAACTGCACTAAAGATTCATTCATAAAATAAAAAGGGTTATCTAACCTAATCCTCTGCCAGATGTTGAGTTCTCGAAAAACTTTACTAAACATCTGCTAGTGGCTGTTTTAGACATTTACATGAATTTGTTGTGCAGTGTTTATTGTGAATTCTATAAGATGCTTCAGCTGCGCTTCATGAAAAGAAAAATTGGCCTGTTTAGCAATCTTTTCGAATGCTGTTTTATTATCACAAAATGTTTGGTTTTTATACCTATTTTATGTTCCTATATATCTGGGATCATGTAAAAAATTATCAGGCCAAAAGGGATCACATATTGAAAAATGCAATAAGCCTTGGTATATTTTACATAATACCTTACAAAACATTTTCATGTACACTGTTTTTCTTGTGATCGTTCAGTAGGGCATTCCCTATATAGTATTTGCAGTGGTGTGTGTCATGTAATTATGGTAGTATTAATCAAACCATCTGGGTGTTGTTTCATATATTACTGTTGCAAAAAAATAACGAGTATATGAAGAATAGCACCATAGTTTCTTCGAGGGTTGTGCTGTGGCAGTATAGTAGGATGATTAATGGTTGGAAGTTCTTCATAATTCTTAGGGATCTTTGTGTTTACAGATATTAAACTAATAGAATGCATAGTATCAAGAGGCTGCTTCATGCACATTAATCACACAGAAGTTTTTATACTGTTGGGAAGGAATGCAGTCAGATCAATGGCATAAATCACTGACAATCACAGTCACAGAGTAAGATTCATAATATATGCTTCCTACAATTGAACAAAGAATCAAATCAAAGCAGGTCAAACTGGGAGTTGGATTGCTCTGTTCTTTGACCAACATCCTTTACACAACTGAACTAGAAAAGAGCACACTGAGTTTTTGGTTAGATTTCACAGAGTAACGCTTAACTTTTAAAGATGGCAGAGCATCCAAAATCAAACACGATACTAAAAGCTGATCATTCAGATCAAAAGCGAGCAGAGTGTGAAGTGCCATTGGTTGTGGCTGTAAAGAATTTAGAACTTAGGCAAGCAAAGATAGAGTCCTGTCTTTAAAAATGACCCAGGACTGTTTATGGACAACGTCTATGTTTTGTGTAATATGTGATGTTCTTTTATGTGATGTGTTTAATAATGTTTTATCAGAGGAGGGTCAATTTTGATGTTTTATACTGTTTTTTATTGATGGCATTGAATTGTTGCCAGCACTGTGAACCTCCCCGAGTCCCTTTAGGGTGGTATACAAATACTACAGACAAATAAATAAATATCACAAAAGGTTTGTTTATAATAAGAAGTAACAATGACATTTTTATAGTAAATAACTGGGTCTGAGCTACTCTCACACCCATCTCTTCTAAGGTTTAGGACTTGAGACTTGGGCAGTGTGGGTGACTCCAACATCTAGGACATGATTTATAAAGTCATAATCGGAAGTGGTATGAAAGCAATGAAGATTTGAGACATTCTGGGATTATTAATATCATCATTACATTATTTTGTTTTTGAAAATTAAAGGAAGAAGAAACACCTTTGCACTGTGCTGCTTGGCATGGTTACTACCTTGTTACCAAAGCACTGTGTATGGCAGGCTGTAATGTGAACGTTAAAAATAGAGAAGGGGAAACCCCACTCTTGACAGCGTCAGCAAGAGGCTACCATGATATTGTGGAATGTTTGGCAGAGCATGGCGCCGACCTTGATGCAACTGACAAGGTTAGTTACGGTTGAATGAGACACATTTAGCAAAAAATTGCCTATGTAATGGTTTTATATATTTATAAATAATTCAGAACTGTTTACATTACATTCCTTTCCCAATGATTCTTGAATACTGCAGATCATTGCTCATAATGTATTAAGGCACACTAAATAAATCGAATGGTACTAGTCTGTTCAGTGCTTCCAAATCACTGTTTTAAATGCACTTATTTAAATTTGTTTCTAGATTCAGCTACAGAGCTCACTTTTTTTAGCAATCCACTTGTTCACCCGCCCACTTCATTTCATTTTTCAGGCACTAGTTAACAATATACCTGTAAAGCTATTAGAGAACAAACATTTGATTTTGCTGCTTGTCTATATTGTTTTCATTCTATTTTAGAATGCATTTCTAATTCAATATTTTACATAATTATAATTTGTGTTTTCATGTTGTTGTATAGATTTTTAGCCATTGCGGCCCCAGCCACCCTGGCATACTATAAAGTTTCATCAGGCAGTTAAACAGCATTATGGGAATCTACCCCATAATATCAAGTCCCCTGCACTTAGGAGCCCTTCAACATAAAGAATATAATCATATATAGAAATAATAACATTGTAATGTAATAGTGCTGGCATATTGTATGTAGTATTAATAATGTTGTAATATAATATATTGTATATTGTATGTACTACAACTTATAATATGGTACAACATATTATATAATACTAATAGTTTAATGTACTGGTAGTGTATTATATATATTATAGAATCATAGAGTTGGAAGAGACCTCATGTGCCATCCAGTCCAACCCCCTGCCAAGAAGCAGGAAAATCTCATTCACTTCATATTGCTATATAATCATATAGTATAATATAATAATATATAATAATATGATAATTGTATATTCAGTATTACATATAATATTACTAGTAATATTTTAGTATAATGTGTTATTATTTTTGATATAGATGTGGATTTGTTTTTGGGATTTGGTGGGTTGGGTAGTTTTGTCTTTGTTCAGCCTCTCACGGCATTGAATGTTTGCCAGTATCTGTTGTAAATCGCACTGTCACCTTGAGGAGACAGGGCGGGATATAAATAACATTTATTATTATTATTATTATTATTATTATTATTATTATTCATAATGCCAGTGTAGATGGGGCCTGGGTTCATGTAAAAAAAGGGATGTATAAATTGAGAGGATTTTCTTCATGAATTTTTATGTACACCTTTAGGATGGACACATAGCTCTTCACCTGGCAGTCCGAAGATGTCAGATGGAAGTGGTTAAAACACTCCTCAGCCAGGGAAGCTCTATAGATTTCCAAGACAGACATGGGAACACTCCTCTCCATGTAGCCTGCAAAGATGGAAACATGCCCATAGTGATGGCACTCTGTGAAGCAAATTGCAACATAGATGTCACTAATAAGGTAATAATGATTAAAAGCTTACTTTACAAAACTTCTCAAGATTGGGGTGGGGTGGTGGTGGGGGGATGACTATTAAATGTCCAATGAGAATGGCAAAAGTATTCTCTTTTGAGAAATCACAATGTTGTAGAGAAGTTACATCTTCCTTACACTTCAATGCAGCAGTTTGTTTCTAATGCTTTAACTATTAATGCTTTGATCTCTAGAAACTAGTTCTCATGATAAATGAAAGTCCTTCTCTCTCTTATCTTCCTATCCTTTTTCTATATGTTTGAAGCTGGGCTGCATTTGTATTGAATTTCTTGGCACATGTAATGTATTTTCCATGTGTCATGTGTTTCCTTACCATGCATCAGTGGCTATTGTGTCAGAACTCGCTTCTGACACAATAAATAAATCAGTGGCTATCAGTCCTCCTTGTTCCTGGATGTTACATACTATGAATGTATTTCCTTGCAATTAAATATCAGTTTACCTAATGCAGGAACTTCCTGTTTTTCCTCTGTTACTCAGAAAGCAGCTACGCATTACAAGAATACAGGACAGCCTCCATTTTCAATGGGGATATATTCTTGGACTTAGTGCAGGCACATAAAAACAGATAATGTTGAAATGAATGACCTCCATGGATGCATACCATAGAACAGAACTTTCCAATCACTTCATATTCGTGACACAGCTTTTAAACATGCATCATTTCACGACACAGTAATTCAATTTTACTAACCAACTAGAGGTTAAACCAACCCCTTATAAGAGATATGGATACTTACATACATTGTAATAATGGAATGTATGGTGACACAACATATCTCATGAAAACCTTCCATTTATATCAGTGGTTTCCAGCCTGCGGTCTGTGAACCACTAGTAGTTCACAAGAACTAAAATATGGTCCGCAGCCTCACTGTTACTACACTGCTGCAATGAGAGCAACTAGTTTCGCAAAACCATCTTATAGTGCTGAGACAACCGGGATGTCAGGAGGGGAGAGGCTGACTACCCACAAAAGGTGCGACAACAAGCCTCCTGAGTGCTACTTCTCCTCCTCCCTCCCTCTGAACTTAGCCATTCCATGTGGTGCCTAGAAGTGGGGGCTTGGTATCTTCGTTTTTAGGCCTGTTCCTGGGGTTATTTAGGATGCTCATTCAGAAAAGTGTATTGGATAGACCACATCAACTCTAGATTATTAAATATGGTTTTCTGTGGGTGAGCAGATGGCATATGTCCTGTATCAGAAACTAGACTAGAGCTGATGTGGTCTATCCAATGCAATTTTTTGGATCTGGACTCCAAATAACCAAACCGAATCTAAAGTTGACCAAAAACTTATTTGCAACCCTTTTGGTACTATTGTTGGAGTGGTTTCTGGTCAAAGTGGTCCCTGGTCAAAAAAAAGTTGGGAACTACTGATTTATATTTTGAATATCTAATTTATGCTTATTTCATAAACTCAGAAGCTTCTCATTATGTTCAGGTAATTCATCTGCATACTGTAGCCAACACACTAGTGTGTCACAACACACTGTGGAAATTTCTGTCATTGGATTGTGCCTAGATAATGCCTAGAGAGAACATATTTTTAATTGGGAATAGGGGGAATAAAATGTAATAGACTCATAGATACGTTAAAAGTTTTCAGTGTATATATATATATATATAACAAGGGACAGCTTGAAGTGTCTGAGACTAAAAATAATAATTAATGTTATAGCTTTCCTCCTACAAGTATGAATTGCTTGAGAACATTTCCATTGTAAGGAAGCTAGTGTGGCATAGTGATTTACACTATCTTCCTTGAGGAAGACAGGGTAAAACTTCTGAATAAATCTTGCCAAGAAAACACTATGATAGGGTCACCATAGGCCAGAATTGCCCTGAGATGACTTAATAGCAGCAACAAATGTCCATGGTGCTAATGTATGGTTTTTTAGGCTCTTCTAACCTTTCTGTATGAAAGGATATATTTTATTTTTGGACAGTGGCGGGCAAATGCCCTTGAGCAGGGGATAGTTTTTGACCCCAAAGCTTCCCAAGGCAATTGAATAGATATGTTTCCATTGACCCAGAATTAATATGATGTAAATTCCAGTTGCAACTAAAGATTAACAAATTGGTGGATTTGGGCATGGCAAGGAAATGAACCCAAACCCATATTTGGGTGCGATGTCATCTGTATGCAGATGATGTCCAACTCTGTCACTCCTTTCCACCTACTACTAAGGAGGCTGTTCAGGTCCTGAACCGGTGCTTGGCCGCTGTAACGGTCTGGATGAGGGCGAACAAATTGAAATTGAATCCAGACAAGACAGAGGTACTCCTGGTCAGTCGCAAGGCCGAACAGGGCATAGGGTTACAGCCTGTGTTGGACGGGGTCGCACTCCCCCTGAAGACGCAGGTTCGCAGCTTGGGTGTGATCCTGGACTCATCGCTGAGCCTGGAACCCCAGGTTTCGGTGGTGACCAGGGGAGCATTCGCACAGTTAAAGCTCGTGCGCCAGCTGCGCCCGTACCTTGGGAAGTCTGACTTGGCCACGGTAGTCCACGCTCTGGTTACATCCCGTTTAGACTACTGCAACGCTCTCTACGTGGGGTTGCCTTTGAAGACGGCTCGGAAGCTCCAGCTAGTCCAACGCTCGGCAGCCATGATACTAACAGGAGCGGAGCGCAGGGAGCATACAACTCCTCTGCTGCACCAGCTCCACTGGCTGCCGATTTGCTACCGGGCTCAATTCAAAGTGCTGGCGTTGGCCTTTAAAGCCCTAAACGGTATTATTGAAATCCAGCCTTGCCGCCTAAAACCCTCAGTGGCCTTCTGTCTCACAATGAGCAGTGAAAGCTGTGGATTTTGGGCTGCACAGTCATTTATTGGGATTATTTTTAAATGCAAGTGTCACCAGCCGCCAAGTTTTTCAAAAGGCTTATGATAATGAGCCTTCTGCCCCATTGTGTTAGCTTAATCCTGACTGATCGAGCAATTAAATGCAGAGCCATGATAGAAACTCTGTTTTCAGAAAGACTGAGTTAATATAGCTAAGGACTTGATTTTATGGTTCAGAGTCTTTGACTGGACTAAGTGGCTTCACATAAATTTCTGCCTATGTTAAAATTGCATTTAAAATGCTTACCTACTATAGACATGTGTCAGTTGGCTTGAACTTGAGCTCTTTGGATTTGTACAAGCAATAGCTTCTGAAAGCTTTTAGTCATGTGCTTGACTCAGATAACGAAGAGCTTTTGATGCCATTGTAACCCTGGTGTATCCTGAATATCAAGTCATGAAATGACATAATTAACAAAGCGATTATCCTTGATTTCTAAACTTAATATCAACTAATTTGTTTAGTCACTGCCCTATCGAGTGTCATGCAAATGATCTTCTTCAGCCTCCTATAGGAGGTCTTCTGAGTTTGAGGCATATATGTATAATGGGATATATGTATAATGGAACTAGCATTGTGTATTGGTTTGAGCATTGCACTATAACTCTGGAGACCAGAGTTCAAATTCTTGCTCAGCTATGAAGCCCACTTGGTGACTTTGGAAAAGTAATATTCTCTCAGCTCAGAAGAAGGAAATAGTAAATCTCTTTTGAACAAATCTTGCCAAGAAACCCTTTGACAGGGTCACCTTAGGACTACCATAGGTCAGAGATGACTTGAAGGCAGAGTACAACAACATTTTTTCCTAATGCTTTAATGGAATATCTTTCTGAATGGAGAGGCTGAAAGGTAATTAAGTAATCATCATATGTACTCTGTTGTTGCTCCCTTTCTCTACTGATTATTCTTCACCATCACCCTCTCTGATTATGATAAGAAAAGGATGACATTTTAATTCATTGGTGGTGTTATACTGATTCGTAAATTTAAAAAAGTACAAATAAGGTGATTTTGCCAACCCAGAAGATTGCAGAAAATGCACAAAGAATATTGATCCAATAAGTATTCATTGTTTTTTTTAGTTTTCATAAGTATTAATAAGTATTCGTTGTGTTATGATGTAGACTCTTAATATGTAGACTTGATGAGAAGTGGCTTAAAGAGCTGGGCATTTTTAGCTTGCAGAAGACAAGACTGAGAGGAGACATGATGAGGGCCATGTATAAAATATGTGAGGGGGAGTCATAGGGAGGAGGGAGCAGGCTTGTTTTCTGCTGGCCTGGAGACTAGGACGCCGAATAGTGGCTCCAAACTACAGGAATGGAGATTCCACCTGAACATTAGGAAGAACTTCCTAACAGTGAGAGCTGTTCAGCAGTGGAATTCCCTGCCCCGGAGTGTGGTGGAGGCTTCTTATTTGGAGGCTTTTAAACAGAGGCTGGATGGCCATCTGTCAGGGGGTGATTTGAATGCGACTTTCCTGCTTCTTGGCAGGGAGTTGGACTGGTTGGCCCATGAGGTCTCTTCCAACTCTATGATTCTATCATTTTGTTCTTAGCGTGTGTTTGTATCTTCAAGAGAGAAGAGTTTAAAGAGAAGGGTGCCAATAAAGATCTTTCCATAATCCACATATACATGCACACCACAGAATGAGGGGGAAGTGGAAGCAGCTGCCAGTATGCAAAGAAAATAATCCTTAAAAATAGATTCAGGGATGACAGAAACTGTATTTCCAGAATCTTGTTCTACTTTGAGGAACCGAGGAGCTTTACATTTCTTACTGGAATAGTACAAAGAGGAAGAAGAAAGCAAACTCAGGAAGATCCTGAGAAACTAACTAGATTGTCTGATTGAACTCTTATATTCTGTGGGATGGGTTTTGTTGGGTTGGAAGAGGGCTGAAGACTTATCCAGGCTGGTCTAAAGAAGAAAACACTCATGATCCTTGGATTTTGCTGATTATTGTTGCCACTGCATCCCCTTGTTCTATTCTTTCGGGAGGACTGTTTGTAGCAATATATTGGATTGTTGCAAAGATTATTCCAAAAGTGTTTTTAAGAAAACACACACACAAGACTCAAGGCATGGTTTAACTGATTCATTGCTTATAGTTTAGAGGGCAATTTTTCTCCTTTTCAATTTTTTATCTTTAATTTTTGTAGAGTAAGTTCAAAAATTCCATCTCACTGATATATTCTAATAGTATAACTCTTTTTTAAAAATAACAAAAATAATCAGGAAATGAAGAGAACGTATTGTCTTGGAAATCTTTGAGGGAATAAAATATTGCAGCTTGTGCCAGAAATTATCCATGACAACAGATCTGTCATTTGGGTGTTTTGTGTTTTTTTTAAAAAAAAACAACACATATTGCAAACTTTTGAAACATTTATTCTCTCTGGAGAAGCCCTTTGAAGGTGATTTCTAGTTCAACACAGCCATGAAATTAACTTAAAAACTGTAGTATAATAGTAGATTTTGAAAACCAGGATAGTTCTTATAACAACAGGTTCTCTGTTATGGCAAGAGCAAAAGCACAGTTGTCTTTGTTGGTCTAAAGCCGTTTCTAGAAGCCTTCATATCTACCAGGAGCAAATCTTTTGTAAAGTAATTCCAAATACTTTGAATTGCAACTGGGATAGCACATAGCAATACTTCATTGCTGGGACTGCCAGCTATTGTGACAATTGCAGCTAACTTCAGAGAGAACCGGAAAGTTGAAGAGGGGAGGTGACAGATCAAGCCATCATCCTTACTAAAGAACATTTCCCAAAGCTTCACTCTGTGAGCCCTGACCCCACTATGCTACTTGCTGTTATTGTGTGCCTTCAAGCCATTTCCAACCTATGGCAACCCTAAGACAAACCTATCAACAGAGTTTATTTGGCAAGATTTGTTCAGCATCACATGGCCTAACCTAATTTTAGCAAGTATGGAAAGTAATCTTGGACTGTTCACTTGTATCATTTTACATAATTTTGCTGACAGACTTGTCTGATTGAAAGGGGGAAAATATCACCATAGTTTGACTAACAAAAGAGGAAAATGATTAATTGATCATGGTGACCCAAAGGTGACAGTCCCTTGTAGTGTGATTTACATATCCAGCAGGCATTGTTTTTCAGCTACAGGGTTTAACATTGGAAATACAACTCTTCACTCTGGTCCGGTTATTTAATTGGTATCCCTGGTATTAAACAGTAGAAATAGTTGACATTCCTTATTTCCTTCCAATATGGATGCTATTTCAGCTAGGGAGGCCTTTTTTATGAAACACTTGCTAGCCCCTCCACTGTCTTGTTCCAGGTAGGATTCCAGTTCAACAAGCAATGTCATGTAAGTCACACAACTCACACAAAGACATAAATCATGGCAATAATATGGTGCAAATACTGAAGCTGTTTTATGGAGAGGTTGGGGTGTATCCCTCTTTACTGGCTCATTTGTAAAGTCTGTTTTCCTCTCTTGACAGTATGGGCGAACACCTCTACATCTGGCAGCAAACAATGGCATTCTTGATGTGGTCCGGTACCTCTGTCTCAGCGGAGCCAATGTAGAAGCTTTAACTTCTGTAAGTGTGACTCCAGTATTATTTGCACTACTTTGAAGCAGTATTCTGCAAGAATAAACAAATGTTCTAAGATGTCACACTTTGTTTTTAAAATAGAACATTAACTTTTCCCAATGAAATAAGATGTAGATAATTATAATTTTAATCTGAAATACAAATTCATTAATCTGAAATTCAGTTTCTGCCTTTATCAGCAGTATATTTACAGAAAAATATGCTGTTTTCTTTTCAGTATCCTATTAGCCCTTTTCTACTGTATATCCTTTTAAAGGATCTTTTAAGCCTAGTTCTTCTAAAATGGTTCTCAACTAAAAATAAGGTTTTTTTTCTCAGTGCACATATATGTGTAGGAAAAATGGATAGACAGGTTTTCAGATGATCTTGTATAGAATAATTACTACTTGTCAAGCGAATCTGCTCCACTACTTTCAATCAGCGCCACCTGCTGTCTTTCCCGTTTCATTAAGGTGGAGGATATATATATATACACACACACAATTTGCCTTTTAAAAATAATGTACTTTTGAAGGAATAATTACATAAAAGGGTGGAAGATAAGAAAGAGAGAAAAAGGAGAAATACAATATATGTATTTCTGGCTGCCTGTCTGCTACCAAACACAATTCAAGTGCTGGTTTTAGCCTATAAAGCCCTAAATGGTTCTGGCCCAGCTTACCTTATTGTACCAGCTTATATTAGATCAACCCTTCCCTCTTGACCTTCCAGAAAAAAGTGAAAATGTGGCTATTTGATCGAGCCTTCGGAATCTAATGCAACAATCAAACACAAAATTGAACATTGGAACAGCTCAGATGTTGATTTTTGGACAATGAGACTAGCAATGAAGGCATTGGTTTTATATGTTTTTAAAGGTTTTATTGAACGTATTTGTAATTCTGTTTCAATATCTTATTAATGTATATATTGTTAGGCATCAAATGGCTGCCTGGTTGTAAGCCACCTTGAGTCACCTTCATGCTCGAGAAAGGCAGGATAGAAATATCGTAAATGAATAATAATATGTGTCTAAACACATCTCCCTCTGTGAAGCAACTCAGAGGTTAAGATCATCTGGGGAGGCCCTGCTCTCAGTCACACCTCTTTCGCAGGCACAAATGGTGGGGACAAGAGACAGAGCCTCCTCAGTGGTGGCCCCTCGGCTATTGAACTCTTCCCCAGTGAAATCAATTCAGCCCCTCCCTCCTGACCTTCAGAAAGCATGTAAAAACATGGCTTTGGGACAAAGTCTTTGGCCAATGTGATGATGCAAAATGTGTAATAACAATTGGAACAGCTTTTCGATTATGATCTCGGTTTGCGGGGTTTTAATAATGTGTTTTATATGATTTCAAATTCATGTTTTAATGTATATGTTTATTTTATGTCTGTTATGTATATGGCATCAAATTGTTGCATTTACATAAAACTGCTCTGAATCCCCTTCGGGGTTGAGAAGGGCAGGGTATAAAGACTGTAAATAAATAAATAAATAATCTGAAACACACACACACACATACACAGACAGACAGACAGACACACACACACACACACATAAAGTGACCAGATGTCCAAAAACATAATTTTTTGAAGCTGGCACATACGAAATACATGTGTACATTACTGTTTACTTCAAAAATTGGTAATGTTTAATATGTTAGTATTAAACTAGAATGCAGCATGCATCAAAGTTGGTGTGAATTGACCACTCTATGGTGATAAAGCAACCAAAATACACAGTGTTGAGTTTCAAAGTGATAGTCAATTTTATTGTAATTGCCAGAATAACTTGATTTAATACACTTGTTTTTCTGGATAGCAATGCACTACATACACAGGGGTGGAGAGATTTATGTAACTAAAGCTTTATTTTTATTTACACAAGTTAAAAGAGGACAAGAAGTTTTACTTGATTGGATAATACAGAATGACAGCGACCTGATTACACATATGCCTACTTGGTAAAGTAAATTAGAATCATTTTCAGACAACATCATGTAATTGTGTTCACATTAAGAGAGAGGTACAAAGTACATTAATAAAAGCAAAAGAAATATGTAAACAGGATTATGGAGGCATAGTTCTGGGGCAGGACTTCTAAATAGTAGAGAAAAGAGATCATTTTAGTTAGAGTCATGTACAGTATTGATTTCTCTATTTCAGTTTATTTAATGTAAATCTAGTTAGTGTGCCATCACATTAATCTTATTTGCTAAATCAAAATATCACATTTGAGAAACAATTGTAAAGAGAACAGCATTAATATTGTAAATATATACTGAGTCTTTTCCTGAACGAAAAATTGATAGGTCATTGGGTAATGCTGCAAAAGCAGTTGCATTTCAACAGCTGTAAGGTACTGCTGCAGTAAGCAGTTTTTCTTGCAGCTCATTTCATTTCAGACTGCTGACCTGTGAAATAGAGGTAATTAAAAGTCAAGATCAATGCTGAAGACAAATTTGCTCTTCTCCTGGGTTTGCTTAAGCTGTTTAATGTTGTGTTCCTCTTCTATCATCGCCACCTGACGTTGGTAGATACATTATCCAAGCTATTCATTTTACCACTTTCTTTTATCTAATATAAATATATATCTTTCTCTACTAGCGGCATCTATTTAATGTGCATCAACTTATCTTTGTGCCTTTTTTAAAGATTCATAGAGCGCATACCTAATATTAGAAACACATTTTCCAAAAAACATAATAATGAAAACATAGTGTTTTAGACTTTATACTGTTTCAGTAAAATCTAGATGTATATTCTTGTAAAAGAAGTTGTTCTGATTTTTCATTTGGGGGGTTGCTTTGAGAGAGTTTTTTAGTGCTGAAGATACTGGGTATTTTAAAAAGATGGATCTGATTTTAAATCGCTAGATTTCTGCAACCACAAATCACCCATGAATGAAACTCTTCAACACTTGGAGTATAGGGTATTAAATGATTAATGCTATGTGTTTATTATTTATTTATTTACCCTATTTATACCCCATTGTTCTCAACCCCATAGGGGACTCAAGGCGACTTACATACATAGACAACGATTCAAAGCCATACATAATGCTAAATGCCTATCCCTGGCTTCAGACATTCACAAGATGCCAACCCAGCAGCATAAAGCCTAATGAGATATTCCCCATTTTTGGAGATGTTGTTTTAGATTTGTTTCTGGCTCAAAGGGTTAGAAGAGCTTGATAACTCATTAAACCATTTGTAACTTTTTGTGTAATTGAAACATGTTGCCCTTGTGAGATACACTGCTTTGAAATTAGGTCCGTCATTTTGAAACACCCTCTGTTTTGATCCTTTCTAGATACAATGCCCTTGGTGCGTTCTATGTAATCCATTTGCTTCTGACAGCATTTATTTTCTTATCAGCTTCGGAATAATGGAATTGTGGTGTACATACTCACAAAAATTCATTTTCTGGGTGAGAAGACATTCTAGCTAACAGCTTATCTTCTAACAGGATGGAAAAACAGCAGAAGATTTGGCTAGAGCCGAGCAGCATGAACATGTGGCCAGCCTGCTTACAAGGCTTAAAAAGGTGAGGAATGTGAATGATAAATCAGGGTGTTTTTTTTTCTTCACTTTATCTCTTGAGACTAAAAGCATATTGGAGGAAATTACATTTTAAGAAAGTAGATTAAAACATGATTGTTGCAGAATTACTGGCAGTTTTCATCTTAATTTTAAGATGATATTATTCCTGCTAGAAACACTGGCTACAGTCCAGTTGTGTTCTTGCCCTGGATCTCAATTAAAACAGTTTAATAATAATAATAATAATAATAATAATAATAATAATAATAATCTAGTGTCCCCTTATTTATCGCAGAGATTCCGTTCCAGGAGAGCCCGCAATAAGTGAAAATCTGTGAAATAAGGACACTCCACCCACTCGGCGGTGGCCTCCCCTTCCTCTCTGCTTTCTCTGCACCTGGCCTCGGAGGCCCCTTGGGCATCTTTGGTGGTGCTGCCAGGCTGGCCTGGCAGTGCCGTCAATGGAGCCCAAGGGGCTTCCAAAGCTGGGAGTAGCACAGGCGGCAAAGAGGAGGAGGCTGCCGCCAAGTGGGCAGAGCCTCCTACTCCTCCTACTCCTCACCGCCTCTGCTGCTCTGGCCTCGGAGGCCTCTTGGGCCCCTTGGTGCTGCCAAGCTGGGGTGGAGCCTCAGCCCAGCCTGGCAGCACCAAGGGGCCTCCAAAGCCGACAGGAGCACAAGTGGCGAGGAGGAGGAGGCCTGGCTCCCCCTCACCTCCTACTCTTCCTCCTCCTTCCTCCCCCCCTCCCCCCCGGCAGCTCGGGGGGGGGAGAGGAAAAACCGCAATATGGCAAGTCCACATAAAGCAATCCATGAAGCAGCGAGGGAACACTGTAATAATAGTTACCTGCCTCTCCTCATGCCTCTAGATGAGCCACAGCGTAGTTTAAACATATCATCATAAAAGCATTCAATAAAATGCATATATTAAAACATATTTCTATAAAATGCACAATTAAAGGTTAAAACCAAGACTTTGTACTTTACCTGGAAACTAATTGGCAACCAGTGAAGTGACTTTAGTATAGGTGTAAAAAGCTTAATCCTAGATGTTCCTGTAAGTAGTCTGGCTGTTTTGAATTAATTGGAGTTTCCGAACTTGGTAGAGGTAACCCAATGCAAAGTGTATTGCAAAAGTCCAGCCTTGAGGTCAACCAGCATCATCATCCTCCAATTCTAGGAAGGGGTACAGCTGACATATCAGCTGAAGGTAGTAGTAAGCATTCCTGGTTGTCGCATCTACCTGGACTGACATTTGGAGAGAGATCCAGGAGTCCTCTCGAGCTGCAAACTGTCTTTCAGGGGGAGTGTAACCCCATCCAGAACTGGTTAGGGCACCTCCATCCAAAAGTTAGGACCCTTAATGGCTAGCACTTCTGTCTTATCTGGATTCAGTTTCAAATCATTTTTCTTCATCCAGCCCATTACCTCCTCCAGGATTTCATTCAAAATTGTTCTCTCCACACACACACCTACCTGTCACAGGAGCCTCTCCATCTTCCACCCACACTACAAACTCTGAAGGTTTTCCTGCCTTCCAGAACAGATATTAAAGTTCACACAGGGACACATGAGGAGGAGGGATTTGCCTTCTTCAAAGATTGCTGACAGACTTCTATAAATTCATTGCAACTTATGAAAACTGTCAGATCTTGGCCAAAATCCATACCCGCTGAAATGACGAGAAACGATACCACCCACAGTACCATAAATGTGCTGGGGAGAGTGCCATAGGCGGTCCTTTTTTCTCCCACCATTTTAGTGTGCAAAAACTATATAAAGCAACCAACCATTAAATAGATGTAGAAATTTAGAAAGGACAAAGACACGATAAAATTAGAACAGTGGAAAAATCTATATATAGACTTTAAACCAAAGACAAACACATCTCCAAATAGTTATCTATATGGAGGGCATATGTGTATGTGACACAAAGAAGGCTTGAAAGGTTTGTAACTTCATCTGTTGATACTGGAAGGTGGACATTTATCTTTCAGTGATGAATTGGAAGGAAGGAGAATCAATTTTCACAGACCAGTACTTAATTTTCAAAGGGCAGATAAATAGTTTGAAAGCACACACAATTCTCCAAATTTTGGGGACTGCTTAAACACAGAATTAGTACAAACAATAACCTACCTCCAAAAGAAATACACATATGGTAATTGCAGTGCCAGCAGTTCACCAGCTTACTGAACTCTTTGATGAAAAGGCATTTTGGTGTTCAATGTGCACAAAATATTTTGCTGAATAAATTGCAGCTTACAGATAGGAAATAAAGCATTATACTTAGAAGCCAAAATTAAGCAAAGTAAGACAAATGGGCCCCCTGGTGGCGCAGTGGGTGAAACTGCTGAGCTGCTGAACTTGCTGACCGAGGAGCAGGGTGAGCTCCCGTTGTTAGGCCCAGCTTCTGCCAACCTAGCAGTTTGAAAGTATGCAAATATGAATCGATCAGTAGATACCACCTTGACGGGAAAGTAATGGCATTTGATGCAGTCATGCTGTCCACATGGCCTTGGAGGTGTGCTGGCTCTTTAGCTTAGAAATGGATATAAGTCAGACATGACTAGACTTAATATCAGGGGAAACCGTTACTTTTACCTAAAACAAATGGAATTTTAATTCCATCTGTCCCATATCCATGGTTAGCACATTTAATAACCACCAACAAATATATATCATATGGAGAGAGCCTACACATGCATAACTGATGCTCTTTAAACTAGAGTGTGTATTTGTGTGTGTGTGTGTTTAAAGAAAAGGGGAATTTTGTGTTAATAATAATAATAATAATAATAATAATAATAATAATAATAATAACTTTATTTATATCCTGCCACCATCTCCCTGAAGGGACTTGGAGCAGCTCACAAAACACTCCAGGGTGCACATACAACAGGTAAAAACAGCATAAAAGTTTAAAACAAGTCACATAAAATTATAAAATCACAGTGAAACAGTAGGTGGCAGTATCTATTGAATCAATACATTTCCCCGATTATCCTTCCCGTTCAAGTGGGCATGAGTGGTTACATACATCCCAGTCATAAAAATATTGACAATCAGACACAGTTTTGTACATCAAGTCTCTACTACTTAAATATTCTGGTTTCTTTTCAGATCCTATTAATCCGGCACCTTTTACTTTCATAAGAATACTGAGCCTTACAGCTATTCTAAAAAACATATTATGGAATGTCTGAAATGAAAACATATTTGATCTGTCTTTTCACCTCAAAAGTATATGTCTGTTTTGTTCTTTGCTTTCACCTTTAGGATACACACAGAACAATGTTCATCCACCAACTTAGACCTACTCATAATCTGCAACCAAGGATAAAACTTAAACTCTTTGGCCATTCAGCATCTGGGAAAACAGCTCTGGTAGAGTCCTTGAAGTGTGGTCTTTTGAGAAGCTTTTTCAGAAGGCGCAGACCAAGGCTTTCTTCTACAAACTCAGTCAGGTTTCCTCCTTCACCATTATCTAATAGGCCAACAGGTAATATTTAAATGTTTCTTTAAGTTGTAGCTATTAATGACAACCATTATTGGTATTAATCATATTTTTGAGACACATAGTAAGGGGAATAGGTTTATCATAGCACTATTCCAATGTTGATAAAATATTTTTCCATGTATTTATTTATTTTACTTAGATCATTTATGCCCTTCCTTTCAGTCAAAATTGCTCCAAGAACATCTTACAGGTTGTTAATTCAACAGAAAAAGATGTGTGTACCATCATTAGCTAAGTGTACCTTGCGAAGGAAACGGAGAAATACTGCAAATCAATTGTGTATTTTTGGGCAGGAGGTATTCATCATTCATTTTGCCACACTAGTGACACAGTTGAGTATTATTAGATCTCTAATAATTTATACAGGCTCATGGATGTGGAGGTAGAAAGAGCTAGAGTCACTACTCCTCCACAAATTATTATTGAGAAAGATGTATGCTGCTAGAAAAACGCAATATCCATGAAGCTTATTATGCAGGGCTAACCAGGTTCTTATAAACTTGACATTTACGAGAAAAACACATCTCAACAAGTAATATTATTCATCAAAATAACAATACAGAAAGCTAAAAAGCATCAAATATTAAAATTATAAACCTCCATCAATGTCCAGATGTTTAAGATTTTGACTCCAAGGATCTCTGACTATTGGCCAAAGTAGCTGAGGTTCCTGGAAGTGGAAGTTCGAAATAACTGGAAAAGAGTTTAGAAATTCCTGTACTTGACCATACACTTGAAACTTAATTCTTCAGTAAGACTAAGAACAAATAATATAGATTATAAATTTGGAATCTAGACCCAGACAATATTTGGCAATTTTTCATTAAGATGAACGATTTGTCAAGAATTCTTGCCTCACTTTCATAGAGACTTAATAAATTTTGCTCTTCCAGAACCAATACTAATTACCTGACCCATGTAATAATTACAAAAAATTGGTATATCTGCAACAGGTGACTGGCATTAAATAAATAAACTTATAATATCAGAGAAGAACTAACAAAAACAATGTATTTAAGGTAGTTATAAAATAGCTGCTGGATTGGACTTCCATCACAATGATTGTAAAATAAAAAGACTAAAAGTAATCCAGGAACATCTGGATTCATCTGATGAAGTGGATTGGAGTCCACAAAAACTTATGCTCAAAATTTCTTCCCTGGTTAGTCACGAATTTATATTGGATTCCTTAATGTGTTTTTATGCTAGAAGATAAACATGCTAGATGAAAATAGTTGTCTGTTTTGAGTAATTGAAGTTCTGCATCCTGAAGACCCACATGCAAAATATATTGTGAGAATCCCTCTTCATTATTTTCTTAAACTAAGAAACAAATAATATTAGAAGAACCAAGGTTGGGTCACACTGAAGTGCTCTCTAGTCCCAATATTCTGGTGGCCAGTTTCAGTTACGTTTTGAAACCTATCAGCAGGTCATGAGTGCAACTGTAGTCTACATCTCATGTTCCCCAACAGTGAATATATAGAGGCGTCTGATATTCTATGTGAATACACAACAGTCCTGACTAATAACTATTGCTGGCCCTATAGTCCATTAATATATCCACTTCCCTTTTGAAGTCATCTGTTGAAATTATTATACAATTTTGTCCCAGTGAATTTCACAGTTGAACTATGTGTTATCTAAAGGAGTAACAAATTTAACATAATTGGTAGGCAAAGTTTCTTCCTTCCAGAGCCATGTTTCTTGTAGCTTTGAGCTTTTGACAGTTTTCATGAGGCTAAGGTTAGGCTGATGGGCAAATAAAGCACTTGCACCATCGTTATTCACCTGCACCATCGTGTGTATTTTTGTAAAACAAATAGTAAATATGGAAGAAGGGCATATGAAATTAGGACAGAATTTTGGAAGGAGATTATCTGCCACAATACTGATCTGAATTCACTCACACACACATCCCTACTACTTGTTTTCATATAAGTTTGAAATATTCATATCTGGGCTGGTCCTTGTGAAGCAAGGGTTCCTGGGATTTTTTTAAAAAGCCATGCTTATATAACAACAATTTGTATCACTTGGCAGATCCCTCTAGCAGTAGATCTCTATAGTGATCCAAACTGGCTGTTCACTTTTCTGTTATCTCCAATATGAACTAATACTTCATTTACCTGACACCTGATTTCCAACTAAGCTTCAGGGCTTAGCATACAAAAAAATTTGAAGAAATCTCTTGGGTGCACAACACCATCCCATTTGACCATCTTTGAGAATCTCTGACATAAAAAGCATGGGTTTTTGTTAAAGTACACATTCAGCTTGAAAGATATACTGTACATGTATTTATTCTTCCTTCTTGTGTCACCTTTCAGGGTAGGGAAATCGCACTTGTGGCAGGCCACAAGAGTTATACAAAGCTTGAGCCTGAGCCATTGCTATGTTTACTCAATTAAGTAAACACTATACTTCCTTTTCAGAAGCAACAACTGATCTTCTATATAAGTACAAGAATTTAATTTATGAGATATGAACTCAAAACTTGTTAGAACTGAATTAATCATCGGCTGCATTTGTAATGTTCAGTTCATGGAAAGTGATATTTCCTATCTGTGCTGGAGAACTCCTATCATGTGGGTAACATATACAGTAGAGTCTCGCTTATCCAACATAAACGGGCCAGCAGAACATAGGATAAATGAAAATGTTGGATAATAAGGAGGGATTAAGGAAAAGCCTATTAAATGTCAAATTATGTTATGATTTTGCAAATTAAGCACCAAAACATCGTGCTTTACAACAAACGGACAGAAAAAGCAGTTCAATACATGGTAATGTTAAGTAGTAATTACTGTATTTACGAATTTAGCACCAAAACATCACAATTTGTGGAAACAGCTGTGTGTCTCGGTGGGAGGCAGGCTGCATTGGATAATAAAGAACGTTGGATGAGCGAAGGTTGGATAATCGAGATTCTACTGTATTAGAAAGAGCACTGACAAACTGGAAGACCAAAATTCGGAATCGATTTGAAATGGCTGATTTAACTACTGTATGGAATTGTTATAATATACCTTCAAGTCATTTCTGGCTTATGGCAACCCTAAGGTGAACCTATTGTGTGATTTTCTTTGCAAAATTGTTCAAAAGGGATTTGTCTTTGCCATCCTCTGATGTTAGTGAGTGCAAATTGCTCACAGTCACCCATTGGATTCCCATGGTCAAGCGGACTTTCAAAGTGTGGCCTCCCAAAGTCCTAGTCCATGTCTCAAATCCACATTGGCTGTTCTGTATGGGTTTGTTTTTGTTGCTGTTTGTTTGTTTTAAAATTTTTAAGTGGAAACTAATATTTTGACATATTTAAAATGCATTAGTTTGAATTATGACATTGTTGTACAAAAATGTGGTCCTGGAAGCACATGTAGCCCTAGATCCTTGCCGATTCCCAGGCCATACTTTTCTCAATCAAACAAAGTTGAATTCCTTCTCCGCAAAACCAAGAGTGGCAATTAACTTTTATAAATAGACAGCAAGGTCTTGCGTTGTTACAATGAAAACTGTTTTCAAAACCAGAGGTGAACATCCAATCATTTCTTCATTAATGGGGGCATCTTTGGTAACCACTGTTTTCAAAGAGCACCAGAGCAGAAAAATGAGCTATGGGTCTGCCACCATTACCCTTACCTAAATTTTAAGGATAATTTAAAGGATTTAAAGTTATGTTTAACATTTTAAATAAGATAGTTGCTTGGCAGAAATTGCAGAAATAACTGACTGCATAAATAAATTGCTGGTATTACTCAATATGTACCTATCCTTTAATATTTCTGATAGTGTAATATTGAAATAAGAAGAAAGGAACATTTCATAAAACTATTACTCATATAAACCCTTATTAAATAACTGTCTGAGTGCATTAATACTTTAATCGCTCTTGGGTTAATAGCTTAATGCTTCATGGTATGTTGTGCTGGTTTTGTTCTTCTTTGATGGGCAGTCTTCTCTAATGGGTGTATTCATTGATATAAAATGAAGAAAATCAAACTAGGTTCATCAAGTATTCTGAAAAAGTGACTGATGAGAATGCTTTTAGTATTAATGTAATCACGAATGTTAGTGATGTATTAATTCTTCTCACCACTGGAGGGCGCTAGTTGAATAAAAAGATGGTTATGTGTCCTTAATAAATGCAGCTTACTTAAATATCTTCAAAATGTTAACGGCTATGAACAATCTGTCCACTTTAAATTCCACTTGCAAAAATCACAAATATGTTTTTTTACAAATTTATGGCACAGTAGCCATGATTTCTTACTGCGGCAGAACACTGAATATACTTCACAAAGTTCCTTCATTGAGTTTGAGAAGATTTCTTGACCAGTTGTCTTGCAGGGAGAGCAGGGCAGATAAGGATCTACTTTATATGAGCAGTCATTGAACACAATTCAAGAACCCTTCCCTCCCTCCCCCCAATATAGATAGATAGGATTGGGGGCTTTTTCGTTTCAGGGGCGACTTGAGAAAGTGCAAGTTGCTTCTGGTGTGAGAGACTTGACTGTCTGCAAGGACATTGTTCAGGGGACGCCTGGATGTTTTACCATCCTGTGGGAGGCTTCTCTCTCGTGTCCCTGCATGGGAAGTTGGAGCTGACAGAAGGGAGCTCACCCACTCCCTGGATTCAAACCACCAACGTTTCAGTCAGCAGTTCTACTGGCACAAGGGTTTTACAGAATTGTTATAATACAGGTTGAGTATCCCGTATCCAAAATGCTTGGGGCTCGAAAATATTTTGAATTTTGGAATACTGTACTTCCATGTACGTACATAATGAGATATCTAGGTGATGTGGGATCCAATTCTCAAGATGACATTCATTTATACTTTATGTATTATTTATTATTATTTATTTACTTCATTTATATACCGCTTTTCTCAGCCCTTGGGCAACTCAAAGTGGTTATATACCTTAACACAAAGTCTGAAGGTAATGTTATAAAATATTTTTTATAATACTGTGCACGAAACCATTGGAGCAGTAGAAACAAAACTGTTGCAGCCACCAATGTGAACAATTTCAGATTTTGGGAGAATTTCAGATCTGTAAATTCTGGACAAGGGATGCTCCAGCTGTAACATCACATCATTTTAGATCTCTTTTTTGTTTTATGCCTAATTGTTTGGATAAAATCCTTTTGTTACTAAGGGTTTGTACAAACAGCCTATTCATCTTTAAAGAATATTTAGGGTTTTTATTGTGACTGATTTCTGTACACTTATAAATCTTAAAAGAATATACTTGGTGGATACTGATAGAACACTAAGGATATGTTTTCCTCCTCCTTTTTTTGGACTTTCTTTCTCCTTGCCTGTAGTTCTACATTATTGTGATATAATCTAGATGAAACTTTATATTTTATTTATTTCAGTTTCAGTAAGTATTACCAACCTGTATCCTGGCTGTGAGAATGTGAGTGTCAGAAGCCGAAGCATGATGTTTGAGCCAGGCCTGACCAAAGGGATGCTGGAAGTGTTTGTTTCGCCCTCTCACCATTCCCACTGCTCAGCAGACGATCAGTCAACCAAGGCCATTGACATTCAGAATGCTTACTTGAATGGTAAAATTGGAACTGTCAATCTATAATTGTTCTCTTTCTCTTTTATTTCAAGAAGCAGGATCCTGCGTGCAAGGAACATTCCCCCTCTAGATTCATTTTTAAAATTGTATTAATATATTATTCAATCCAATTATTTTCTTAAGACATCATATGCACAATGTAAAGTAGTGGTTCCCAACCTTTTTTTGATCACTTGACCAGGGACCAACATTAGTACCAAAGGGGTTACAAATCAGTTTTTGGTCAACTTTAGATTCATTTTGGTTATGTGAGGTGCTGATTCAGAAAATTGGATCAGCCCTAGTTTCTGATACAGAACATATTCCATCCAATAGTCGCCATCTGCTCATGCACAGAAAAACATATTTAATAATTTAGACCTGATGCGGTAGTAGTACTCTTTCATGGGTAGTCAGCCTCTCTCCTCCTGACATCCTCGTTGCCTCAGCACTATAAGTGGGTTTAATGAGACCAGCCACCCTCGTTGCCACATGGTTTTGAGGCAACGGTGTAGTAATGGTGAGGTCATGGACCATATTTTCGTTCCTGCGGACCACTGGTGGTCCATGGACCACAGGTTGGGAACCACTGATCTAAAGAATGTTATACCCAGTTGAATGCATCATAGCAGCATAATAAATGCAAAGGATTGGCTATACTATGTTTTGTCAACACACTATCTGTAAAAATATTAATAATTTAGGCAACAATCTTATGGTTCATTGAAAACAGTTACCTTAGGGAAAACACAAGTTTCAAGATCTTTATCTTCACCTGAGCAATAAAGCATGGTTTTTGGAATTGTAATTTTACAAAGTCCTTAGCCAAGTCTGCCAAAGGGTGCTGGTACTTCACCAAACTACAGCTCCCATGATTCCATAGCACTGAGCCATGGCACTTAAAATGGTGTCAAACCACATTAATTGTAAGTGTAGATGCACCCTATATTCTTTCACAGTTGCTGTTGGGAGAGGTTGGATGGGAGTTATCATAGCACGTTTTCTATTGCTTTTAATAGAAAACATTGTTAACACTGGAAAAGTTGTCTTGTTTTGATTGTAATCTGGAACACATTATAACTTAGACAAATGACTTAAGTAGTGTGGTCTCTGTGTCTGACAATGGTATTTCATTTTTTAAATTGTCTTGATAACATGTATTTGCTTATTGCAGGAGTCGGTGACTTTAGTGTGTGGGAATTCTCTGGGAATCCTGTGTATTTCTGCTGCTACGATTATTTTGCTGCAAATGACCCCACCTCAGTTCACATTGTGCTTTTTAGTCTTGAAGAGCCCTATGAGATCCAATTGAACCAAGTGACCTTTTGGCTTAGTTTCCTTAAATCCCTTGTCCCAGTTGAAGAATCTATAGGTATGCTTTAAAACATGTTACTTCTAGCAAGCCATGTGCCATATGAGAGAAAAAAGCAGCATTTGTCAGTAGTATTGTAGATATTCTGTGTTGTGTCATTCCATGCACCTTATCACTCCAAATCATTTTGTACAAAATTCACTGTACATTTAATGAACCCCTTTCCTCCTTTGTTAAATTTATTTCTTAAATAGAATTATTGGTCAGATGCCTCGACTGGCCGTGTTTATAAATCATATTATTTTTTGTAAAATATTAAATTATTTTGATTCATGTGTTTTAACCAACACTATTAATTAAGCTTTATCATAATAAAGCACTTTTCAACTATTGTGACAATTTCTTGGAATAACAAAGTCAAGATATCTGACCACCAACTAAAATTCTGTCCAAATCATCTGCTGTGCTGCTAAAACATGTGTGCAACAAAGACATTAATTAAGTGATCAGATTATCATGGGACCATAAGATGCTCTATTTCACACTGACAATGACAGATGTGTCTCTCAGTGTTCTAGCTAATGCTAAAACAATTTTTATCTCTAGCAAGTGGTATTCTGATTCAAATCCGGAATTTAATTGGATTTTTTCCAGATTAGTGAAACATAACATTGCTGAGGAATGACAAGCTGCCCAGTGTGTTTCTTGTACAATATTTTTATGAGAGTATTAATGCACCAGCAGAAAAGAAATACCAGATCTGAAAACTGTTCTGTTGTCACTGAAGTGCAAGTTGAGTTTTTGTGTGCTTTGAGAACAAATTTGAACAATATTTGAAGAAAAAAAACATTTAATTGTATGCAGCAGCTAATGTCAGTTTGCAAAACCTCTTAAACAGTTTAATAAAATAATACAATGTTATCAATTAAGATTTTAAAAATATTCCTTGAACTATTGAAAACACTGATTATTATCTAGCCAGAAATACAGCTTGATCTTGCCTCCAACATACATGAAGCTATTGATGCCCCAGAACTTGCTCCTTGATTCCAAAATCAGATAAATATTTATTTATTTGAAGTATTTATATTCCGCCCTTCCCACCCCAAAGGGGACTTAAGGCGGATCATGGAACACATATATGGCAAATGTTCAATGCCATTATACACTGACAAGACAGACAACTGTACATAGAGGTCTTTGGCATCTTGGAGGCTGTACGCTATTCCGGCCATGGGGGTGGAGGGTGGTTGCTGCCGCTCCATCTTCCCTACTAAAGAGCTTTGTTCATAAACTTCTTCCTTGACCGAATCGCCGGCATTTTTTCTGGCATTTCCTTATGGATCCCTTAAATACCTCCCCACTTTAAAGCAGTGCCTATTTATCTACTCACATTTGTTTTCAGATTGCTAGGTAGGCAGAAGCTGGGATAAAGCCCAGGAGCTCACCCCTACCTGGGCTTTGAACTGTTAACCTCTGATTGGCAAGATTTACTGCAGCTGGCACTTAACCTTCCATTGAGACATAGATTTCTCAGTGGAAGGAATATGCTGACCATTCAGTAGTGTTTGTTTGTGCAGGAATTTATGTGCATATAAACATGCCTTTAAATCAGCTTTGAAGTTAGATTGCATTTGGAGTAAGTTTTAATAAAAATCACAGTTAATTCCATGCTGGGTTGAGCATGCTTATGATCCATGAAAATCAAGAAACAGGTGCATTTTGTGTGTGTAGTATTAACATTGAAGGATATGGTTGTCCCTATTCACATTTCTTTGATGTTATGGTTGAATATTTGTTACATTACAGGTAAATGCTATGGAATTAATGTCAATGTGTCCAAATATGTGGGTTTTTTTTCTTTTTCCACATTACGTTTAACCAAGAAGGTTATATGAATTTATGTTCAGTGCTGTTACCTCATTCATGTCCCATTTGTGTCTTTCTCTCTCTCATTCTTTTCCATGGTATCTCCCAGGCTTTCCTACTTAACTCTCACTTAAATGAGAATTCTTTATTTGTGTAAGTACTGTAAAGTTGCATTCATACCTGTGTATGAATGGTTTTATTTAAACACCATTCATTTCCTTCCTGTAATAATCTCAACCATAAACCTGTAGCATTATAGATCAGTAAAGTCAATAGAGAGTTTTTAATTGAGAAAAACAATTGCCAGACTCTTCCAGTATATATTTAGGTTATAGTGAAATAGATGGCTTATGAAGAGTTATAGCAATTTGTAACATCTTTTATATAACGCAGCAGTAGAATTATTTGAAATGATGTTACTGCGTCACACTAATTGCCATCAGGTCTTTAGGATGATGAAATTTGTGGAAATAGATACATTTTCTTTCCTAAAATCCTTTCTTTCTCTTCCCTCATAAAGCATTTGGAGGAAAGCTGAAAAATCCTTTGCACGTGGCCCTGGTGGCTACCCATGCGGACATTGTCAATCTTCCACGTTCTCCTGCAGGAGAGTTCCTATATGACAAGGATTCTTCACTTATGAAAGAAATTAGGAATAGGTAAGGTGCAAAGAACAGTGTTGGTGCATTAACAGGTGTATTAAGAAATGAACTTTTCTTCTTCATGGTCTTTTTTTTATCGTGTCAGAAGTGACTTGAGAAACTGCAAGTCACTTCTTTTTTAAAAAAAATTTTTTTATTAAGGGATAGAATAGGGGTACATTAGCAGGTTACTTCTTAACTTACTTATCTTAAATAAAATATACATAGTGCATAGCAGATGTAGAATAGTGATTAAAGAACAACCACCACCCATGCAGTGGAAAGAAAGAAAGAGACAAAAATATATTTTTAAAAAGAGAAGATGAAGAAGAAAAAGAGGGGGGGGGGTGAGGAATAGGAATAGATGAATTAATCTCTTGTTTCCTCTGGCATGGCCAAAATTAGAGTCATCTAAGATTTCTTTCTTCTTCGATCTCTCCTCTCCACTTCTTCCTTATATGTGACTTGGATTTTGAAAAAAGCTTTTAATCAGAGTCCATTTAATCTTTTCTGTAGTTGGTCTCGGGCTGTTCCTAAGAGATTTTGATAGGCTATCCATAATCATGATGTCCAAGATTTTAATTTTCTAGTCTTCTACTGTAGGTATCTCTTCCCTCTTCCAAGTTTTGGCATATATTAATCTAGCAGTGGTGGCCAAATGGAAAAATAGGAATTCTGTATTTTTACCTGTATCAAAATCCATTATGCCTAAGAGGTAATATTATGGTTTTAGTTCTATTTTTAGTCCCAGAATCTTCTGTATCATTTTGTGGGTCCATGTCCAAAATTTATTGGCCTTCTTACATGACCACCAAAGGTGGAAAAAGTTCCTACCTTTGTTTTACACTTCCAACATTTGTCAGACAGAGTTTTGTAACACTTCACTAATTTGCTTGGTGTGATGTACCACTGATACATCATTTTAATCTAATTTTCCCGTAGGTCATACGAGATGATAAATTTTAATTTATAATTCTGTATTTTTCCCCAATCTGTGTATCTTATAGGGTGTCCAATATTTGCTTCCCACTTAATCATACAATTCTTTATTTGATTCTTCTCAGTTGACCATGTTAGAAGAATTTTGTATATTTTCGTAATCACCTTCTTCCCAGCTGTCATTATCTTATCCCATAAAATGCATGTCACTTCTGATGTGAGAGAATTGGCTGTCTGCAGAGATGTTGCCCAGAGGATGCATGTGGGAGGCTTCTCTCATATCCCCGTATGGGAAGCTGGAGCTGACAGTTGGGAGCTTACTTCAACTTGCAGATTTGAACCGCTGACCTTCAGGTCAGCAGTTCAGCCGGCACAAGGGTTTAACCCGTTGTGCCACCACAGCTCCTTCATGGTTTTTGTCCATCACATAGAAGGGTTCTGCACCTTACAGGCAAGCAACCTTTTCTTGACCTTGATTTCTGGCTTGAGGACAAAGGCAGGATGTAAATAAAGCAATGGTGATGACCATGAAGATGATTAATTATCATTATGTACTGTGTGTATGAGCAAATCTCAGATCAACTTTAGGCATTGAGATTGGTGTCACTGTAAATAAATGCCCAAATGGTAATGCAGCAGAAACAATAAGGGACAAGATCAGTTTACAGCAGTGGTTCTCAACCTGTGGATCCCCAGGTGTTTTGGCCCTGCCAGTTTACCAGCTGTTAGGATTTCTGGGAGTTGAAGGCCAAAACATCCGGGGACCACTGGTTTACAGTTTACCAGATATCAGACAGAAGTTCCCCTTGCAACTTAAATGCAGTTATTGCCCCAATGATAGGACCTGCAGGATGGGAGAAAGCAGCCAACTGATCAACTGAGTGTATAACATTTTACAGTCACTCACATAGGATGCATCCAGACTGCCGAAAATGTCAGAAAGTGCCAGATTTTGTTCCTACTCTTTCTAATTTTATTTTAGAGATTCATACATGTTTTGTTTTGCCCAGAATATTTTCTTTCAGCTCCTGACTGACTGATAAGTCCTAGATTTTGTTGCTATTCTTTCTGATGTTATACTGGGTTAAAATAAAGCCATCTGGGAAGCTGGTGTACAAAGTCCCACTATGATCAGAGATTTTAAAACCAGCTCTCCAAATTGGTTTATTTAAACCCTGACTTCTCAATAAATCAGAACTAGAGAAGTTGTGACTTATTCACTTTGATTAATTCAATCAACAGTCAGAGAAAGGCTGCATAGAAATTCCCAAAATAAATAAATTGTGGATTTTAGATTCCAGTTGATTGAATTATGCACAGTTAGAATAACCCACAACATCCCGAATTCAAACATAATATGAAACTTCACTTTATTTAAAACCAGAAATGAAAGTTCTTGGTTTCCTTCTCTAGTGTTTGGAAGATGTGGGTGGGAAAATTGCTGTGCCATTACAACTTCAGTCATCCATTGTGTGCTTCAAGACACAACCAGGAAGACTTTGTGGAAGAACCACTGAACTGGGTGGGATTTATTTCCAAGTAAAGAAGCTTAGAGCTGGCTTCCAAGTCCAATACATATACACACACACATACATACACATATGTGATATGGATCCTGATTTGCAGCATTCCTTCAATTAAAAAAGCTAAGAATGAAATGGGTTAAATAAAGAGGTTCTCTTTTTTTGTAGGTTTGGAAATGACCTCCATATTTTGGATAGATTATTTATTTTGGATGCTGGTGCATCTGGATCAAAAGATATGAAGATTCTCCGAAATCACCTTCAAGAATTGCGTGGTCACATTATCTCTGTAAGTCAATGTTTTTCATTGTCAAGCATCTTCTCATTTTGCATGCATTGCGTGTTACTAAAGGTATCTTGTAAGTAGAGCTTAAACTAAGGACCTTATCAGATGAGCAGGGGTAAAGTGGTGGAAATTGTGGGGCAGTGGAGGGAACCATCAGGCTCTGTCACCACCTGTCAGGCCCAGTAGTCTCCCTTCCCACAATGTTTCCCCATCTGTCCCTGCTTCCCCTTCGGCTCCTCCTGTTCTTCAGTGCATCATGTAATGGTCTCCAGGGGACTCTGTGCTGGCAGAGGAGAGAAGCGGGGGGGAAGACGCTCATTCTCTGCATCTGATATGGTCATGTATCTCAATGGGATACAGCAGATTTGTTTAGTTTCGGTCTGATTGCCCTGTGCTGGTGAGTAGGAAAATCACTCTGTATTTCAAAGGAAGAAACTGACAACAGCATATCTGAGTATTCCTTGCCTAAGAAAGCCCTATGAAATTCATTAAATCACCATAAATTGACAGGCAGCTTCACGAAACAAACATCACATATATATTTGTCTCTTTTTGTACTTGAAGGAGAAGTGAAATTGTATTACGGATGTAATTTTATGTTATTTAAAAACCCACGTTTTGTCATTAGACCAGTATAGCAGGTTTTTTTTAATGCCTTGGTTCTCAACCTGCGTGTCCCCAGATGTTTTGGCCTTCAACTCGCAGAAATCCTAACAGCTGGTAAACTGGCAGGGATTTCTGGGAGTTGTAGGCCAAAACACCTGGGGACCCACAGGTTGAGAACCACTGTTTTAATGGTTCAATAATGTTTCATTTTGAACTTGTTCTTCAGAAAAGCACTGACAGTATTCCCATTTGAATCATTTTTATTAAGAAACTCCTGAAGTCAAACTACTTTATTATCACAATAATATTATAGGAAACTTAGGCTGAGAGTGTATGAATCCCCTAGTTTGAACTTCTGTCTCTTCAGAAAGTGTCCCGCAGTTATTCGTCTTTGTATTCTTGTCATGTTTATATGTATTATTGAAGTTTCATTTATTCAGTCATTTTCACCTCCCTCAGTTTCAAAGGAGGATTTACTCTGATTTTTTGAACAAATGGCAAAATGTAATATATATGCAGAAGCATGTCTTTTAGTATTTTCCAGCATTGTATTCTATACTGCTGATGTTATTACTTGTACTTTGCTACCAGATCTTCTTGAGTGTAAACTTCTGCATTTTCAGATAAATCTTTGCCAGATACTTCATCTTTGCAGTTTGCTTATTGACCTCAGAGAATGCCAGCTTAAATTTGACTGTATCACTGGCTTCAACAGAAGGTTTTGCCAGAGGCAGGACTCTCAAGCCAAACTTCCTAAGGAAAATGTTTCAGCTTGTAATGTGATGTAAATAAATCTATTGTTCCAGAGCCATTAAGAATCCTAGCACTGTCAACAACAAATCAATTGAATCAGGGATAACTTTACACTTTAGAGCATAAACTTACATTTTAAGTTTGTGCAATTACTGTAATACTGAAATTGTACCAAAAAAGTCACTGTTATGTTCCAGAAAGTTTATGATGGTATAAACTTCCAAAAATATGTAATTCTAACTAAACAAATGACTTGGAAACAAAAAAATATAAACATGCTACGCGTCCTTACTCCCGAAAATGTATGAGCTGTGAACTATGGGACACATTCACTTGTAAACAGATGCCGTTGTGTCCTGCTTTAACAGTTTGAGCTTTTCTACCTATAATTAACATAATGCATTTTTTTTTAAAAAATCTGTCTCATATTCCCAGGAAAAACCAAACTGAAGCAGGGATGACAGGATAATACAGCACCCATTTTAGGAAAGATGAACACACACAGATGCAGTTATGCTAATGTTACTTCTGTTGTGATATAACTTCATAACTAATTCCAGTAAATGAAGAAAGAGAGATTCAAACATAGTTGCTTCCTTCCAATCTAGAAGGGCTTTCAAAATAAAATCCATTTTTCCTAGATAAAAAGAACAATTTGCATTTCAGAATTAAAAACAATGACCACTATGGTGTTTCTCATAGACATGTCCACCTATGACTCACTTGTGTGAAAAAATCATCTCTACCTTGCCATCCTGGAGAAAAATGAATGGACCCAACCAACTCATGTCATTGCAGCAGTTTGTGTATGATGTGCAAGATCAGCTTAATCCATTAGCAAGTGAAGATGAACTAAGACATATAGCCCAACAGTTGCACAGTATAGGAGAAGTAAGTAATATGAAATAATTTCATCAACTGTATGTATATAATACTATATAATTTTCTATCCTGTCAAAAGAGGTTGGAAAATATATGTCTGGTTTGGTGGCTAGCAATAGCTTGTCATTAATGCAGCACTTGCATGTATACCCTTTCATGTAATTTATCTGATGTTTATATATTTTACAAGACCTCTGTTAGGCAAGGCATAGCCCGAAATTATGACTGGCCCAAGATTCTCCATGACTGAACAAGAATGCAGTCCTTCTATGGATAAACCTAGTTATCTTTCGTTTGCTATACCTTAGCCTTTGTCTTCTCAGGAACTGGGCAACCAAACCAGAGGGCTCCCATTTCTACATTTCTCTAATAATGATTTCTGTTTTCTTGACTGGGTTGGAGTCACGTGAAACCACAAAATCATAGTATCAGAAGGGACCCAGTGCATGATTTGTAGTTAGAGCATCCCTAACAGAATTCAGAGTACCTTTGAACATGTGGAAGGTATTTTCAATTCAGAAATGAGTTGCTTTTAAATCTTGCACTGGAACGTTTTGCTAGAAAACGTGATGTGCTGACCAATTCTGAATGTAGATTTCCAGATTTTATTAATACTTTCTTCCATATATCTTTAGGCTGTAGCCTAAATCGAATAACATTGCCATGTAATTTTCCTTTTCCAGCTCTTTTGAAACTCACTTTAAATTCATGCCCAGGCTCCTAAGAAGTAGTACCAAGACCTAATTTCCTTCCAGTTCCCGAGTTGCATTTCAGCCTTATGAGTTCTTCTTATCAGTAGACATTATCTACATGTGGTGCAATGGGTTAAACCCTTTCTTTTTTTTTTTGTCGTGTCAGGAGCAACTTGAGAAACTGCAAGTCGCTTCTGGTGTGAGAGAATTGGCCGTCTGCAAGGACGTTGCCCAGGGGATGATTTTGATGTTTTATCATCCTTGTGGGAGGCTTCTCTCATGTCCCCGCATGAGGAGCTGGAGCTGATAGAGGGAGCTCATCTGCCTCTCCCCGGATTCGAACCTGCGACCTGTCGGTCTTCAGTCCTGCCAGCACAGGGATTTAACCCACTGCGCCACTGGGGGCTCCTATAATAGAGTAGAATTGGGGACGCCCATCCCCCAACCGCCCCCCCCCCCCCCCCCCCCGTCAGTTCCAGTTTCTCATGTGGGGACATGAAAGAAGCCTCCCACAGGATGGGGAGACATCCGGCCATCCCCTGGGCAATGTATTTTTTAAACAGTACAAAAACGGTGTCCTATTAATATAGGACTGGAATGAAATGAAGACAAGGGCCATGCGAGCATGTGCCCAGGTTTATACTTTATGCTTGCAAATATAAAATTTGCCATTTACAGAATCAGGCATCACAGGAATCTGAACACTAGTCGTCCTTTTATAGTCAGTGACTCACTTTGAATTCAGAAACCATGATGATTGCAGCTGTGTTCTTTTATTTGAATCTGACAAAGGACTTTCCTTTCATTGAACAGATCAATATCATGCAGAGTGAAACTGTCCAAGATGTTGTCCTACTGGATCCTCGTTGGCTGTGTTCAAATGTCCTTGGAAAACTTCTGTCGGTAGAAAACCCTAAAGCTCTCCACCATTATAGAGGTCGGTATACAATAGAAGACATTCAGCGCTTGATACCAGACAGTGATATAGAAGAACTTATACAAATCTTGGATGCTATGGATATCTGTGCCAGAGATCTCAGCAGTGGGACAATGATTGACATCCCTGCCTTGATCAAGACTGATAGTCTCCATAGATCTTGGGCTGATGAAGAGGATGAAGTTATGATTTATGGTGGTGTAAGAATTGTTCCTGTGGAACACCTAACGCCGCTTCCTTGTGGAATTTTCCACAAAGTTCAGGTGAATCTGTGTAGGTGGATTCATCAACAGAGCACAGAGGGAGATGCAGATATACGTCTTTGGGTAAATGGATCGAAGATTATGAACCGTGGAGCCGAGCTCCTTGTATTACTTGTCAACAATGGTCAAGGAATTGAAGTTCAAGTTAGAGGCCTGGAAACAGAGAAGATCAAATGCTGCTTGTTCCTAGACTCGGTGTGCAGCACCATTGATAATCTAATGGCCACAACATTGCCAGGTCTCTTAACAGTCAAACATTATCTCAGCCCTCAGCAACTGAGGGAACATCATGAACCAATAATGATCTACCAGCCAAGAGATTTTTTCCGGGCACAGAGTCAAAAGGAGACTTCGCTGACAAATACCATGGGTGGATACAAAGAAAGCTTTAGCAGTATATTGTGCTTTGGGTGTCTTGACGTCTATTCCCAGGGAAGCTTGGGGATGGATATACATGTATCAGATCTGAATCTGCTTACAAGGAGGAAACTGAGTCGGCTTCTGGACCCACCTGATCCCATGGGCAAGGACTGGTGCCTTCTTGCCATGAACTTGGGCCTTCCTGATCTTGTGGCAAAATACAACACGAACAATGGGAATCACCATGACTTCATATCAAGCCCATCCTATGCCCTTTTGCATGAATGGGGAAATTCCCCTGAAAGTACTGTGGGCATCCTCATGTCCAAACTGAGGGAACTGGGCCGCAGGGATGCCGCTGACTTTTTACTGAAAGCATCCTCCGTGTTTAGAGTCAGTCTAGACGCAAATGGCCAAGAAGCCTATGCTTCGAGCTGTAACAGTGGGACATCGTACAATTCAATTAGCTCAGTTGTGTCTCGATGAAAGTGAATTCCAGAAAACGCACATTTTTCTAATCATAAATGGTAAGGAAGGGTTCTGTATGGCAGTTTTCTACATATTGATAAGTGTCTACATTTATGGCTTGCCACCATTCTCCAGCATTGCTTTTAAATGACCAATCTACTTTTTAACTGTGACTTGTTGCTCTTATTTTAGTTCTAAAAGGCTGGCGTACTTCTTGTATTTTACAGTTCTGATTATCCATTGTGCTGCTTAAATAGTCATTTTACATGGAAAGACTCCAGCATTTTAATAACCAAGAGGGGTTTTTTTTAAAACAAAAACAAAAACAAAACAAGAAATACTTTTTCTTGACAGAAGATGACAATGTAATGTGATTAAAGCTCATTTCTTATGTCCTTATTTTTATTCATTGTGCTTGTTTAATTTTTTTTTTTAAAAAAAGAAATATTTATAGCAAAACAATGCTAGTCTGTTTGGATTTTAATACCAAGCTTAGGAACAAAAAAGCGAGTGCCTTTTGCAGAAGATAATGTGGTTAAAATCAAGTGATCCTGTTGAAGCTGTAAGACAATGCTACCTCTATTTCACTGTCTGCATGCTGGTTGTTACAACTGGTGCTTGCCTTTGTGTTTTCCTGAAGTTTCAAGATATTAGGTAATATGGCGTTCGTTCCGATAAAGAGCTCTCATGTTGGATACCATGAGAGCAGAAACATGTAAGACATTATCCGTTTTTATTTCCGTTGAAGTGGAATGAAAACTTTTAAAACCCATGACCTTGCACCTTCCATTATTTCCACATATCTCAGGTAAAGGTTTGACACAAATGTAAAGTTCACCAAGGCACATATACAAGTGTTAGCTAAATGGACTTATTCTGTATTAAACAGTGATCGTTTGTGAGAAAAAGCAAATGGTTTCACTTTCAGATACTAGTGTGCTTATTTCTTATACTTGAAGGTTTTGCTTTTTTTTAAAATCAAGGAAAGCAAGAATTCCTTGCAGTGAGAGAACTTCAAATTGGTATGAGGGAACAAGACCATTTCTTCTGTTCTAAAAAGCATGTAATTTTAATGTGTATATACATATATAGTGTATGTATATATATTAATATGGCTTTCCTTAATCTTTGTTGTAGTAAAATTTAAAAGGATTTTTTTACAAATAAACTGTTGCCTATTGCAACTTTTTCATCACAAGTCCTAGCTGCATTTTTATCATTCTACAAAAACGGAGCACAAACAGCAGAAAATTATTTGGTCTGTTGGCATACAAATGTATTAGAATCCTAACAATTTGACTTCAGCAGCTGCACACAACCTATATACTGATTGTTTTCCCCAAGCAGCATATGCCCGCCCACTCACCCCTTTCAGTTACGGCACTTCACTCGGCCGAGTCCAAAAGCTCTGGGTTGAAGAGAGCTAGGATTCAATTCCCTGCTAAGCTATGGGACACCATCCCCACCCCCAGTGACCTGGGAAAAGTTGCATAGTCTCAGTTGCAGAAAAACCCTGTGATAGCTTCACCTTAAAGCAGGCCTGCACTATGTGTGGACCTCCAGATGTTTGGGACTCCAACTCTCAAAATTCCTTACCAGTTTGTCAAATGGTCAGGAATTCTGAGAGATGAAGTCCACAGGGCCACAGGTTGTGCAGGCCTGTCTTAGCGTCACCATAGATTGGAAACAATGTGAAGGCACATAGCAACAACAGCAACAAAGAATATGGTATTTCATCGCATTTTAATCTCTTTTTGGCTGAAAGTGGGTGCAATTACTGTGCAGTGAAAAAAATTCTGTTTGTTGCAAAAGCAGTCCTCCTCAGTGGGTCTGGGTTGTGTGCAGGTGGACTTTTCATCGTGAGCAGTGAGCAGATTCCCTTTGGGCACTGCTGTGGTGCCCCACTTGCTCACCTACCCACTCAATCATCTCTACGGCACTTCACTTTTACTGGATTGAAGAGAGCCAGTATTGTCTTGCTATTCAGCCCAGTGCTTTCATACTCGGCCAAGTGACACACTGTAGTTCGATGGGGGCAAGTGGGTGACCTTGGGCAAGTTACATATTCTCAGCCCCAGAAAAACCCGTGAAAGCTTCAACTTAAGAGTCACCATAAGTTGAAAATGACCTGAATGCACACAACAGCAAAGTATTTGTTAACGCATAAAGTAATAGGAGGAACTGTGGAGTCCCTCAAATATTGTATGGCTACCGCAGCTCCCAGGATTCCTCACAATGTAGCTATTTTGGCTAGGTCTACTAATAGTTGCATCTCATCCAACACTCATCTGGCTGCATGAATCCCATCCTTGATTTAAAATATAATATGTGTGTTTAGAGGCAACCATCAGCACAGCAAACCTATTGAAAGTTTTGAATCAAAGCTGGAGTGTACCTCGCGATGGTTTGGATTTTACAAGAAGTGAAGGAACAGCCTTGTGTCTTTTTAAAATTAGCTTATGGGTAACAGTTCATCAAATGGGAGAGCTCATAGAACTGCCAATGTGAAATATAAAACCATGTTTTTGAAGCATTTGCCTTGCTGAATAGTCTGTATGGGAAAGGAAATGGCTTTTAGCGTCAATGCTATAATTCCTGGCAAAAGGTCCGTAGTTTCCTCTCTCAGTGATGATTCTGCAAAGTTTGAAATAGCTGTGATACTGAAGGGTGTGGTTTGCTTCACACTGCAACTTAAGTTTATGTACATGATGTAACAAGGTAGGAAACTATGCCTCACAGTGAATCACAATCATCAGATGACAGTATTCAGAAGTAAATGATATATGCTGCATTTTTGAATTTAAAAAATAATTATGTTTCCTTTTTTTGCTTTTTTTGCAAAAGCATTTCCTTATTGATAAGATGACTTTAGATTGGACTGCCTGCTCCCCCCCCCCCCAACCTTTTTTAATGGCAAGCATTTTCCTTTTCTATACATGAGTGGTGATTTAAATGCCCATTTCATTCCACAAATCAATTCCAGAATGCTGTTATCTTTACTGAAAATACTGATYATTATTTTAAGCGAAAGAAACTCAAGACTACTTGATTTTCTACCCATCCTTTCAGAGCTTGGAAAATTGCATTATCAAAGTCATTCATCCCATTTACTCATTTCAGTGTTCTGAAAAGTTAAAACCATTGCCATCACTCATCATTGCACAAATCGCTTTCTATGTTGCAGCTTGTTTCATTGCTTCTTAAGGAATGTGTGATCCTTTGAATCAATGAAACATGAGAAAACTCCTGTCAAATACCTTCAAAATGCCTTTCATTGGGTATTTGCTATGGCTCTAGTTGCCATAGTAAGTAACAATTTGCATGCGAGTGGCAGGCTCAAGGGAGCCAACACCTACAAGGAGGCTTGGAGAACAAAACACTACAACTGTATCAATCCCCAATATTACTGGTAAGAGGTAAGAATCCATAAACTGGATTGTTTGTCAGTCGTGTGATGCTCCCATTCTGTAAGTCCACTTGCCAAAAGGACATTAATCATATAATGGTGGTTTTAAAGGAATTGCACTGGTTGCCAATACATTTTTTTTAATTATCTTTATTGCAGATTTTTCAATACACATTTAAAACATCAGATGGTGGGGGGCAGGGCGAGGGGGGGAAAGGTATGGTAGGGCTGGTCGGGTGGGAAGGGGTCAGGTGATGGGTAGTGGATATGAGTAGGGTTGGCTGTGAGGGAAAGGGGGAAAGGGTAAATGGGGGGGGGGGAGAGTATAAAATACAACGACTTCCAGGTTGAACAGATGGGAGTTCATGTCCTAGTAATAATATCTAAAATCCTAAATAGTGTAGTGCCTCTCCATATAAGTCTATCTGTCAATTGAGATCTGCTAGGTGTGTGTGCGTTTGTGTATGAGTGGTAAACACCTGTGTTTCACCAGGAGAAGTAAATATGTTGTTTGGCACCATAGGACGACACCTTCTTTGTGTTTTGGCAAGCCAGCTGTGGAATGCCCTCTCCTTGGAGCCCTGATTATTGTTAATGTTGTTCTTATTTCTACATTGAGGTTGCATCTTCACTGCAACCTTAGTTTGACACTACTAACTGCCATGGCTCAGTGCTGTGAAATCATAGGATCTGTGGTTTGGTGAGGCTCCAGGACTATGGTGAAGAAGCCTTTGAGAATCTACAACTCTCTTTATTCCATAGCATTGAGCCATGGGAGTGAGAGTGGTGTCAAACAACATTAATTCTACACATGTAGATACATCCGAAGTTTAAAAATGTGGTTCCTATAAAAGTCTAATGACTTTACCTGATGTATATACATTCTTGGCTCTATGTTGTGTTAATTTCATCTTTTTAGATTATGCAATTGTTTAATATGGTTCAATTATGCTTGTTTTGATTGTTGCCTTAGTGTCCTAAATTTTAAATTGTTGATCTGATTTCATTTACCATAAGCCTCTGGAAATCTTACAATATGGGGGTAGCAGAAATATTACTAAATAAATAACCAAGGAGAGTTGCCCATGGAAAGCTCATGGGTGCCAGCCTTTGTGTGGTTTCTGCCAGCTGAGTATGAGGCTTGGCCCACGTAGCCTCCCAAGGTCACTTAAGGGGAGGCTCCCCTCCACCTGGAAGAGAATGAAGTTATGACAACAGAGTACAGAACAAATGGAGATAAAACATTCAGCAACAAAGACATCAGGAAAGGGTGGAATAGTGTGAAGACAAATGTAGTCAGAATGCCAGAGGAGATGCTCTTCTGCTAACTAGTAATACCTGAGTGACACCTTCTTCAACACCTCCTCCAACATCTCATCCTGTAAAAAGCCTACTTTTCTTTGTTGTCAGTCACCCTTATGGTTGGCTGATTTCTCCCAAAGTCTTGTCAATGCACAAGGTTTGCGGTAGAAGATGCACCAAATCAAGGAAGTGAAATTGTTGGCTCTGGTTGCCATAATGCAATGATTTCTATGTTAGAGATGGAACTTCTGAGGAAGTTTGGGGATCCTTTGCTTCCAGTTACATCAGAAGAAACTAACCATTATTTATTATATCAATGAAGCTACTTCATTCTTACTTATTATTGTTGCTGAATATGACTAGTTGATAAAAAGAATAATGACTGGGTTTCTGTTATATTCTGTACTATAAAATAGTGATTAAGCCATTTTTTATTACAATTGGGGGTGAGAAGGTAATCTCCTGTCATCAGAAAAAAAACATGTTTTGACAAAATGAATTGTGTAAATAGAATTTACTGATATCAACCACACAAGGGTGGGCAAGCTGGGATGAATTAGCTATATTACTGAATATAATTCTGCCTATGTTTACACTAACGCTTTTAGAAATGATTGATTGATTGATTGATTTGGAGCCCGCCTTTCTCAGCCTTACGGCAACTCAAGGCAACTTACAGAAATTGGCAGAATTTGATGCCTTACATTCATAAAGTACAATTAAAAACATTTGACCTAATACTATAAAAACCATATAAACCATTAAAACCATCATGGCTTGTGTGATTTCTATAGTATTGTTTAAAGTATAGATAGTGGTGTTTTTTAACAACAAAGAGGAACATTTAACATCTTGTTTGCAAAGCATTCAACACTGATCCATGAAACCAGAGTAGGATTTGGAGTAGAGAAGCTTTCAACTCTACTGATTTTTATCTTCATTCATTCATTGGCAGTCAGCTGGTCGTCTCCTTTAGTAAATCTAGTGTGTCGTACTTTGAGATAACTCCAGAAGAGTTAAGTTTTAAAAGGGACCTCTTGTCCTTTTGTATCAGAGAAATATATTTTTTTTCATTCCTGATTCAAGGTTAAGTTATACACCATAACATAAGTATATGGGAAGCCGCTTTATATTGAGTCAGACTGGTGTTTCAGTTGAGCCCAAAAGCTCTAACGCGGTGATTCCCAACCAATTTGACCAGGTGCCACTCTCCAACATTAGTACTGAAATGGTTACGAATCAGCTTTTGGTCAACTTTAGATTTGGTTTGATTATTTGGGGTACTGATTCAGAAAATTGCATTGGATGGACCACATCAGCTTTTGTTTCTAATACAGAACATATGGCATCCATTAGTCACCATCTGCTCGCCCACAAAAAAACATATTTAGTAATCTATAGCTGTGGACCTTATTTTAGGTCTTGCGACCCACCAGTGGGCCATGGCCCATAAATTGGGAATCACTGCTCTAAAGACACCCAATCCTCTC